GGGGGGGGGCGTGAATGGATGCAGAGAGTGAGAAAGTGTGAGAGTGTGATTTGGGTCTTCGCGGGGGAAACGGAAATCACACACATAAAGTGAAAAAATGATATGGAATGCGTCATAATTTATTTTCGATCCTCTCTCTTTGCATTGATTTCTCTAAGCGATCGGCTAACAAAGTGAGATTAGATAATAATATTAAAATAACTGATATACGGTTTTTAGTTTCCTATATTCATTAATCTTTATTTTTTTTAATATAAATAGATATCTCGAGAACATCTTTTTATTATTAAATTATTTTTTTACGTTCTCAGTACTAGAAGTTTAGCACTCTATTATTTGCAAACTATAAAGAGTATCAAGAGTTGAGAAGGTTTTATCCTAACGGTTATAATCTCTTGATTCGGACAATAAAGAATTAACAACATACACACCTTATTTTACTGAATAGTAGTTTTTGATATACATACTTTCTGTTTATTAGAACTATTATATAACAGTTACTATTCTCTGTTTTATTTATTTATTTGAAGTAAAGACAGAAGAACTCATATCATTCATTACTATTACTATTATATTTTTTTTGTTATTAAAAAAGGATCTTATCTCACCATTACAATCATCTCTAAGGATTAACAACATACAAAGAAGAAAGATGATTTGTTACATTTACATTTAAAAAAAAGGTTTTTTCTCCATCTTTAGATTCCTCTCTTTTAGCTTTTTTGGTTAAAGACTTAAAGAAGAAGGTGTAATACAAAAAGAAACGAACAGTTTTAAATATACGTTTTATTTTGATTGTTATTTTGTTTTCTGAAACTATCATTATCAAGAAATCATGCAACATATCAGTCCATTTTCGGAAATTACAAATTTTGAGGTAGCAAATGTTAAAGATGAATCTAATGAAATATCTGAAACATTTGAACAATCTCATCTAGCATATCAAACTCCTCCTTATGAAACTAATATAGTCAATATATCGTCATCATCAACGAAGACTGCTATACATAGGTTTATTGCATCGCCACAACAATGTCAAAAACAGTCTACTTCAAGTAAATTAATTAAAAATATTTCAAATTTAATGTCAAATTCTACATCACAATTTTTAATTACAGATTCAAAGATTAATAATTCATTTAATAAAAATATTAAATTTTTAACAGAAGTCTTAAAAAGATCAAAATCAAATAAATTGATTGCTATGTTAGCATCTCATTATTTTAAACAAATTTATGAAAATTTAAATTCTAATAAAATTAATGATTTACCAGAATTTGCTAAATGTTCAAAAAGAATATTTTTAACATGTTTAATATTAAGTCATAAATTTATTAATGATAATACATTCTCAATGAAAACTTGGTCATCAATTAGTGGATTGCCAGCTAAAGATTTATCTACTTTAGAAAGATGGTGTCTACATAAATTGGATTATAATCTATATGTGGATATCAAGGAAATTGCCATTATGGGTAAACGCACAAGAGATGATGATGCAGATTATTATTATGATACTTTACGAAATAAAAAAATGACTAAACTTAATAATTGATTAATCGTTATGTTAAAGGCTGTTATTTTTAGTACTTTCTACTATATATACATATATATTAATATAGATAGCTTCTTAATGTTTAAAAAATAACTATTACTTGATTTATTAATTTTATAAGGATGAAAAACAGATGAAGCTCTTTACCTAATTTTTATAATATATTTCATTAACCCAAATTTATGTACTAAACACTATTTTCATTCTAATAATTATTCAAGATAACGAACTAATTATAATAAAACGAAAGTCATTCAAATTCACTCTTATAATTTAAACTAATTAAATAAATTGAAATGCATATAAAAAATATGTAACGTTTAAAGTGATAACAAAATAATACATTTGCAAAAATGCGAATTCTGTGGATCGAACACAGGACCTCCAGATTTCTTGTTTGACCAAAGTTATTCTTCAGTCTGGCGCTCTCCCAACTGAGCTAAATCCGCAATAAACGTGAAATGTTTGAAATATAAAGAGATTTATGTATAAATCACTTTTGACGTCCTTCAGATAGTTCTAAGTCCTTAGATTCCTAAATGTTGAATATGTAGCGGCAGTACTAAAAAGGCTAACATCAGCTTAACCTATCTGAAGGTGAAGGTAGCTAATATAAGTAGAATTTAGAGTGTGCTGCACTACCGTATATATAATAACCCATGATATATACTGCATAATGTAGTATTCGTTCCCCCTACATTGGGTTTATTGGAGCTACATAGTCCAACGTTACTATGCACAAAAGATGAGCAGTTTAACAATATCAACTCTGTTTAACACCAAAAGTATAAAAGGAACACATATTCTAACTGTCAGAAATTAAGAGTAATAAGCGCAGTTATTATGAAGTGTGTTAAAATATGAAACAAAATATGTGGCGACATGAAACAAAGTTAATTGCATTATGAAACAAAACATAATTCGAACCTCAATTGAGATTAGAATAAAAAATATATAAAGACAAAGAATTCTGAACTTATATTCGAAGTTAGATTCTATTCGTTCTATAAATTATATATAATAATAAAAATACACCTACAATTAAAAGAAAAGAATAACAAGTGTATTTTGTTTTCTTAAGATTAGATCTCAAGATACATCTGCACCTGTCAACCTTACACTAAGTATAATGAACGGAGCCAGACCTAACTCTACTGTGTGTGCCTCAGCTCGATACGCGTAATATGTCTCTAACAGATTCTTCCAATACAGAGGTACCTCGTAAATTAGATATATATAACCGGCATCAACGTGGACCGAATGGTTATTTCCTTATTCACCTGTAATATCACTTATAACTGAAAAAGACATTTTTTGAAATTGTAAAAAATTAACAAAGATATATATGTAAAACGTACTATATAATAGAATCAAATAGAAATTTTCTAAGCTTCGTAATCCCAACCTTTTTTGATTGCCTCGTCGTAAGTTGGGTAATCCAATAATCCTTCATCGGTTCTGCCTAGAAATGTACCTCTATCATATTTATTCAGAGGTAGTCCCTTCTCCAATCTGTCAACAAGATCTGGGTTAGAAATCCAAAATCTACCGTAAGCAATTAAAGTTCTATCGTTTTTCAACAAATCTTTTGCAATCTCAGGGTGCAATGCCAAATTACCAGAACGGATAATTGGACCTTTCCAGATAGAAAATGCAAAATCGTTATGGCCAAACATCTCCATTCCTTTACCTTCAGTTAAAAATGGATCAGTTACTCTTGGTTCACCTAAATGAACGTAGGCTAATCTCTTACCAGCCCTACCTCTCTTTTCAAGCTCACCCAATAAATAGCAGTATGTTGCTAATAAAGTTGGGTCGGTACTTCCTGACATACCCAAATATCTAGCCCAAGGGGATAATCTGATACCAACCTTTTCAGCACCAACGGCCTCAATACAGGCATCAACAACCTCTAAGACAATTCTGGATCTATTCTCAATAGACCCACCGTATTCATCCGTTCTTTTGTTGGAAATTGGGTCCAAAAATTGATTTAAAAAGAAACCAAACGCACTATGGATCTCAACACCATCTGCACCTGCCTTAATCGAATTCTTTGAGGCGTTTGCAAAATCCTGAACAAAACTTTGAATTTCTGTCTTAGTTAGACCATGTTGGCGGTTGTTTGCATAGAAAGCAATTGCTTGACGAGAGTCGTCGATGTAAACGTCGTCGGAAGCAGAGACATATCTAAGCCCATCTCTTTTCAGATTACCAGGGAAAGCATGGCGACCTAAAGCCCAGAATTGGATGAAAATATAAGAGCCATTCTCATGAACCTTTTCGATGATTTTAGACCATGCTTCGACCTGTGTTTCATTCCAGATACCAGGGGCATCATCAATACCACCTGCTTGAGGGGAAATGATTGCGGCTTCAGAGATCAAAAATGTCCCTTTTCTCCTGGAACGTTGGTCATAATACTCGATACCATAGTCAGTGTTTGGAATTTGACCAGGATATATCGCCCTCAATCTTGTTAGTGGGGCCATAACGGCACGATGGTCCAGGTTCATATTCCCGATCTTCATTGGTCTGAAGAGATTTGAATCTTCTAAAGATTCAGCTTTAAAGTCTTTTACGAATGGCATATTGGAAGTAATTTAGAAGTGGTATGTTAGTGTTTGTAATTCTTATGTATGTACTATTGTTTTATGTTAAAAGTTGAGAAGGGAAGACTATTGGAAGCAAATATTTTACATTTTAGAATTGAATATGGGCTCCTTTTATATGTTGGTAAAACCATTGATAATGGCTTAAAGAAAGAAAGAATTGTTGTTTAAAAATGATTACTAAGTTCATATGTTCACATTAGTTTCATTTATTCTCAGTTTTTTGACTGTTCTTGAAAGTAGTTGTTAATACAATATTGCTAAATAACTTTCTTAGCGATATCGGTAACTCCCGTCTCCCGCTTCCGTTTTGGTCTTTTTACTTCCAATTTAAAATTTCCATGTCCGTCTTCCGTTTCCATGTCCGTCTCCCGTCTCCCGTCTCCGTTTCCGTTTCCGTATTCCGTACCGCTTTTCTAAAAACGGAACTGGCCAATCGATCACTTGTAGCAAGCAATATTACTATATGGGTGAGAAAAGAAACGGTTTAACCACCATTATTATAAAAGCTACCTGTTATATTACTGCTTAAAGTTAGATTTATCAACGCAAATTTAATGACAACAACAATAAGGTCAATGATTCATTATTTGTCCCTTGACGTTCATTGTTAGAAAAATAAGTTACGAAGTGCATATCTTTTATTCTTGTAGATTTCCTACAATTTAAACCAATTTTGAAAAACATTCGACTACAGTATTTATTATTACATTATTATTGAGTTCTTTTTTTTTCAGAAGAATTAAATTTTTTAAAATTTATATTTTTGACGTTCATGTAAAATTTAATATAATAATAAAAAAACCAAAAATAAAATTAAAGAAGATGTCAACACATAGTATTTGAAATCGCATTATTTAGTTACTGATTATGACTACTCAATTACAGAAGATTATTCTCGCTGTATCAACAACATTAACTTTTTATTTACTGAAGAAGCTAGCACCAATCAATCATTTGGTAACTTTAAAATAGTTTTTGTCAGTTTATTTGTCTCTATGGTTAAAATTAGTACTAGATTCGACCAGCAAACTACTGTCCTTATCCTAACTTAGCCAACCATATCGTTTACTTGTCTTTTCAAAACACCTTAAAGAGTTTCCTATCTCATAATAGTCATCTCAATAATTTGTGTCATACTGAAATGAGGAAAAAAAAGTAAACGCGAAATGCAAAAATATCCTGAAAAATTTATTATGTAAACATACGTCGTTATTATAAAAGAATCAATCAAATCATGTATCCAATTTTAAAATAGTACAATAATTACAGATCAAAAAACACATTAGAAAGAGTCTGATAAATGACAATTCTAGAAGAACTTGAACAGGATATTTCCGCGTTGAAGGAAGAAAGTATGTTCCTGTTGTAATTCAAATATTATTACTTCAGCTTTAAATCATAATTCTTACCAGAAATACTAACAATGAATATAATTTCTTAGTCAATTCCTTAAAAAAGAAGGCAACGTCCATCAAAGGATCTATTAAGGACAAAAAAACACGTTCACGCCGAAAGGTTTCCACTACGACAAGTGATCCTGTTGCATCAGATTTTAAAAAATTGTTTGATCAATTTCCTCAACTTTACAGATTATTGCATGATGACCAGCAGGATCAATCTGAAGATAACATCAAAAATGTAGAAAATGAATCAATGAATGCAAATAATGTTAAAGTTCTTCAAACTCCTAGGAAGAAGTCACGAATTGCATCTGGAGGTGATGACTTACCTGAATCCGAATGGGTATTACGGAATCAAATCCCTCTAGAACATCAAATGTTTGATAATAGCATTATTGATGACATGGATGTTGATATATTATCATCTCCATCAAAACGGAAAGCTGAATTAAGAAAGATAGAGTCAGATAAATCCCAAAATGGTAAACTTCGGAACAAAGTTCTGATTGAAAATATGTTTAGATTATTTGGTATAACATTTTTCCCACTAGTCGACCCTACAGATTTGAAACTAAATGACGAAACTCAAAAAATTGAAATCACAAGACAGATGCTTGGCATTCGTCTCGATATATTCAATAGTAAGAAGGCATCCTTTGACAAAACATATTATATTTTGTTAAAGAGATCAAATAAAACGAAGGACAAACAAACAAAAGATACTAATACTGGAAAATGGATTGTTTTTAAACATACTATACCTATATATATAGATATAGAAATGATAATGCGTGATTTATGCACAAGTGACTCATCCTCATATGAAGATGTATATATTTTTGCCAAAGAGGTATACATTTTATTACTAAATAGCCTAGAAAGAGGAAAAATATTTGAGACATTGGAGATGAAGGGTTTAATCAACAACCTTAAGAACGATATCGATTCTACTAGCGTATTGTTTTCTTTAGGAGCTATCAAAATACAGTTATATTTAGATAAGGACATAATAACTTCCTGTTTGATTACTCAAGGTGTACAAGATGAGGTACTTAAAACAAAATGGGAAACTATATTGAATGGTCCATTGGATGAACTGGAATTCAAAATAAAGCAATTACTTTAAATAAGCTTAGTTCATAACAGACAATATTATAGATAATTTTATTAATGCATGATTTTTATATTCGTTTTTTTCCCTCCAGACTAATATAAATATTTATTTAGTAGAGGATGGTTAGGGATAATTTGATACATTACATAAAAGCAAATATAACCCAATACAAATCCCAGTATTTTTTCCATCAGAGTATGGTAATATATAGCAGTGATACATAATAACATTGTCCATGCAATCAATACTGCCAAAATAACGATTATTCCATTTGTAATCCACCAATTTATAAAATTTTGAATATTCTTCTTCTTAACATAATCGAAATATATAAATAGCTCACACCATAGTATTAAACTTATATTCATTAGAAAACAAAAATGACCACTTATATCAAAACCACCTCTCCATTCTCCGCCAGTTTTACGACATGCTTCAGCAGAACGTAATCCTGTGTTCTCGTCACCACTACTACACTGACCACCTGAAAAAATAAAAATTTCATCAATTATCATGAAACAAACAAAGAGAATGAAATTTTTTAGAATATATTTAACAACGTATTGCTTTGTATATTTTCCTACATTACTACTTGCATATGAAAAACTTCGATTATCTCTCACGTTTGAAGTTGGCAATAATTCAAAATCCTGGGTATGAATATATATTTGAACAATCGCCAAATAAATAAATAGTATCGTCCAAACTAAATTTCCTTTATAAGCAAAGATAGAATTGATAAAATTCTTGGAATTCAAAAGGTAAATAGTCCTTTTTTGATGTTCTTTGACATCTTCAGGTAAGACAAAACTGAAAAATATACCTATCAGAAATAGCACTAAGTATGAGATTGCTATTACTGAGTGAAATGTATATCGTATCCTCGATCGTGTAGATTGTGAATACTCCATTATGAACCGTATGTGTTGGTTGTTCTGATTTAAGTAGTCTTCGAACCTCAACGATTAACACTGTTTATGTAATATATTGAACATTTTTGGGTTTTAGTATTATTTAATTTTTGAGAAGGTAGTTCGCTCGCTCGATGTCACTAATTTATGCGTACCCAATTGTATCGTAAGGTCAATTGTCAGGGACTACCCTTTACAAATTTTATTCCATAACATATTTTTATAAATGTATAAATATACTTATTATGTATGCTTTCATATTTCTTTATGAATTTCCCGTATCACCCTTTTGAGCCTTTCCGATATTCTTAGTTTTATGTCATGTTGTTCTCTTCTTTGAACTTCTCCCATGCGACACTTAACACACTAAAGACATTTTCTGCAATCATCCTATTTTGCAAACTTAAATCGCTGGAGAGTTTATCAGGATGTAATTTAGTGATTGCCTTCAGATAAGTGATTTTCACCTTTTTAGGTATGACTAAATCGGCCGTTGATACTGGTTTCCATTCTGTCCATGTAATAATAGTTGATAGATTAGATAATAAAAATCTAATATCATCAGTCTTATTGTTTTTCCAACTTTCCACCTTGTCGAAAACTATATCATATAAAGCGGACTTCTGTTTTGAAATTTCTTCTTCTTTGTTATGTTGTTCTTTTATTTCCTCTACGTTTTTATTTATTTTTGGCTCGGTCTCGATATTTCTTTTAGTTTCACGTTTATCCATAGGCTTAGGAGCTGGAGTAGATGAATTTATCTTTGGTTTTGAAACGAAGGCTTCCGGATTCAGAACCTTTTGACATCTTCTCTTGGCGCTCATAATTTTTGGATCGTGGATACCGTTTTGAAGTAATAACTGTAAAGCGTCAAGGGCGGCCTCGAAATTTTCTTGATGTTCATAGGCTTCTGCTTGTCTTGAAATAATCTTTGACCATAATTCTTTGTAAGTCTTAGGAGGATTACTGTTTTGAATGGTATTATTCCATTGAACTTTATCACTTGGAAACATATTCAACGAAAGTTTTGCATTTTCAATACATTTAGAATAGTCACCTATCTTCATTTGAGATATTATCATATTAGACAATGCCACTATACGTAACGGATGCAAAGAAGGAAGCGTATTTAATGATTTTTCATATTCCTCAAAAGCTGAGCTATAATTCCCATTACCAAACAACTCCTTAGCATTCAAATTAAACTCATTATAACCAGATAATTCCATGGTAGATATATGAACTATTGGTAATGTGCTATTTCTAGACCCGGTTGTATTACTTGTATTGTTCCCTGAGTCAGAATCGAAATCTAATAGTGTCGATTGAACTGGTTGTTCTGACTTGGTATAAGAATATTCCCTAGAAGGTGAATGTGCTGGTAATTTAACCATTGGTTCTGAGATAATCACATTTTCATTGAAATCATCTAACAAATCCCCTTCAATAGAATCTGGAACTTGGGTAGATGATTCGGTTACATTTGTAGGTACTTTAAAAACCAATGTATTCGATGTTCTTGAAGGTTGTGTCTCTAATTTCGCTTCATAATTATTAATATCGAATGGATTGGTTTCATCATCTAATAACATTGCTTTATTCATAGATGGCTTAAAACGAGACCTTTCATCATATATGTTCCCAGCGGAATTACTATCATTTCCATTGTATTTATAAAGCCTATTAGCTTCTTCATCAGGGTATGCGGTTAATTGATCCACAAGATCTTTACCTTTATTTAAGAAATCTGTTGCCACAGAGAAAATTGATGAAGATATATTTTTCTTATTAGTATTGGAATCACTGAAGAATGTTGTTCCTACTCTATCATTTTCCTGTCTCCTTTCTTGCATTTGTTTCAATTTTCTATTTTTAATTATATCATCATATAATACCCCTTTATTGTAATATTTATTAGCTTTATCGATTGACATACCTAAGGACATCAATTGCGCTACTTCCATATCTTTTATTTCATCTACCACTACTGATACATTTTCATTAGACGATGAAGGTAATGGGTTTTCAGATATATATTGTTGAGTACTTTGTTCTTTGGAATCAAAATTATCAAAGACACTCATAAAATCATCATCATCATTATTTGCAGTGCTTCCATTTACTGGTTGTCGTTGTGGAATTGGAGCTGGTGTATTACTTTGGGAAGAAAATCCAAAGAGATCATCAAGATCATTATGAATAGAATCATTCATATTAATCTCATGAGAAGGAACTACCAAAGGCTTCGAATTACTTTGTAATAAATCATTATTATTCAAATCTGCATTTAAAGTGTTTGTGACCTGGTTGCCTACCTCATTTTTATTTGTTTTCTTCTCTTCTTTCAAAGATGTGAGTAGATTTGCGAATGGATCTGCCATATATGTCTATATGTACAATATAATACGATTCAGAGTAGAAGTTAAAATGATGAAGCCAAAAATAAAGGGTCTCACGTCTAGAAAGCTGGCACAACAGTTGTAAATTTATTTTATGACAGGGTTAAGGTTTAACTAGTTTTTCTATAATATATGTCACACCAGAAAACGTCCTAATAATAATAATAGTAACTAGTCGTGTAACTTAATACTCAGCCAATATTTTGACACCTCTTGTTCCTATAAGCAAAGATTTGTTAATCATTTATCAACTTCATTGTCCCTTTCTCGACATCCAGGGTAGATTAGGGTTTGATCTCCCACTGCCCAAAACATCACCCTGCACGACAGCCCTAACGCATAACCATTTGTTTTTGGCTGTGCACTGCGCGAACAAAAAAATGAAAAAATGTTTCTTTCGCAGCTCATCAAGGAGTGTTCACCGAGCAGTTAGCAGAATCCCCGTTGAGATGGAAATTGATGGATGAGCACTGAAAATTTTTTTTTCATTTATTCACTTTCAATTAACAGAGAAGAGCTAGTTCAAAGCGTAGTTTTAACATAGATGCACTTATAAAGAGATAGTTTAGTTTAGTTCATAACTATTTAAACAGTCTTAGATACAGTGTTATAACAATATTACAACAAAACAAATAAGAATACCAGCCACAATGCATTTGATGTACACATTAGACAACGAAGGTAAGAGAGTTTACACTTTGAAGAAGATTGCCGAAGATGGTGAAATCACTAAGTCTGCTCATCCAGCTAGATTCTCCCCAGATGACAAATACTCTAGACAAAGAGTTACTCTAAAGAAGAGATTCAACATCCTACCAGGTCAAAACTAAGAAGTATTACGCATTTGTATTGACTTTTTAGAAATAAAGAAATAATCGAGTTAATATTTAAGAATAAGAATCATCTCTTCTTCTTCTTCCTTTTTTTTGCATGGAGAGAAGAAGTATCTAAATAATATCCTTTCGCTGTTTATGATGTTTCTTTTAATTTAAAATAATGGCAGCGGTTATGACACTTCTTCCTATTGTATATTACATAAACAAATAAAATAAAATAAAATACGACAAATTTAATAAATGAACATTTATATGGATACTATCCTTTTTTAGTCTTCTTTTTTTTAGTGCTATTTGATATTATTATGATTTATTTTTGACATATACCAGTATATGTAAGAATATATATTTGTATGTAATGATATGTAATTCTTAGATCAAAGTTCAAAGATCTGTTTACTATAACAAAATATGGTGTGTTCCTCTACATTTTATAAATTGTTATTTCTTTTTCTCTTTCTTTAATTTAATTAGAAAGGTGGCTTCCTGTTACCTGTGGCGTCTAAATTAAATTGTGTGCTATTATGATAATTTTCGCATATTTGCCCAATTATTTCAATGTTTTTATTTTTTTTATTAACATTAGCTAATTCTTGATTTAATGTAATTACACTTTGATTTAATCGTTCTACATTAACGATTATACGTGATAATATATTCTTCTGTTGACGTTCAAACGGATTCTCCATGTTTTGTGGTTAGTTTCTTTCTAATAATTGTTCTCTATTTGATTTATCTTCGAATAACAACTTTTCCAAAGGAATTATTATTACTTAATATGTAATACTATATCAAATGGTACAAGTAGTATTACAATTATTATATTGTTCTGTTTTTGTTTTTGTTTTTGATGTTGATGTTGATGTTGATGTTGTTTTTCTTAGTTAAGCACGTAAATAAAATAATAATTAAAGGTAATGCTATATAGGCAACGTATATAGTGATCGTGCTTCAAGATGACATAAACTATTTCACTGACAATTAATAGTTATATAAAGAGTACACAAAATTAATTTGTGATATATATTAACTACTTATTATAGCTACCAATTCATTGAATACTGTAGCTATAAGATAGACAAAGTATGTGAGATCGTAAAACAAATATATATAACTACAAAGTAGAATCAATTTATTGTTGAGTATCAACACCAATTTATAATTCTAAATACTCCCAATCATTGCTTCTGTAAGAGTCAATACACAATTATAATCGATGGTTAAATTAGTATATAATCAAAAAGACACAGCAATTGCTCAATTCCTGGTTCATTTCCTACTTTGTAATTACAGCTCTTTTTTATTTTCATTTTCCACTTTTCCACTTCTTCTTTTTTTCAAATTTTTCAGAGCCACATCGAATTTTCCTAGGGAATGTATGCATGACTACCAAGCAATTTCAAACGATATCATCGTTAATTATGTACATTGCTCTTACAATTATAGTTTATATAAGTGCATAATGTTAAATTTATCATCTATGTAGCAAATAAATCTTATATTCCCTTGGCTCCTTCATTAGTATTGCAAGCATTAGTGAAAGAAGATTAGCATCATTAGCTAACCAAAAAAAAAAGTTTGAGATAAAAGTATGCCTAATAACGCTGTTGAAATTACTACTATTTGTTCTGACTTAGAGAACTCCCAATTTAAATTGGAAAGTACAGCTCCTGAGGAACCTATCATCTCCAAGTCAGCTACTCCAGTTATACACCCACTATTATCACAGCGTCGTTCTCTACCCAGAATTAAAATTCTGGGTACTGGTGGTACCATTGCTTCAAAAGCTACGTCATCATCTGCTACTGCTGATTATAAAGTAGATTTAACTATCCAAGATATGTTAGAAGCGATCCCTGATATTTCTCGTATCTGTGAACTGGAGTACGAACAACTTTGTAACGTTGATTCCAAGAATATCGATGAAAAGATTTTAATGACAATTTATAACGGAATCTCTGAATCTTTACAAAAATTTGATGGCATCGTCATTACTCACGGTACTGATAGTTTAGCAGAGACAGCCTTTTTCATTGAAAGCACTATTGATGCTGGCGAGGTTCCTATTGTTTGTGTTGGTTCGATGAGACCTTCATCTTCTGTATCTGCAGATGGTCCTATGAATCTATATCAAGCTATTTGTATTGCAGCTGACTCTAAATCGAGAAATCGTAGTGTTCTTGTTTCATTGAATGATCAAATATCGGCAGGTTATTATATTACAAAGACTAATGCAAATAGTTTGGATTCATTTAACGTTAGACAAGGGTATCTAGGGAATTTTGTAAATAATGAAATTCATTACTATTATCCACCTGTTAAACCACAAGGTTGTCATAAATTTAAATTAAACATTCCAAAAAATACAGACTCATTCAATTTTCCGGATGTTTGCATCATATATGGTCATCAAGGTATTACTTCTAAATTATTGGACATGGTAAAGGATCAGTATGCTGGGATTGTGTTCGCCACTATGGGTGCAGGTTCTTTACCTGATAAGGTAAATGAAGACTGTTTAGAAATAGACATTCCCGTTGTTTACTCAAAGAGATCCATGGATGGTATGATTCCAAGGGCAAATCTACCAAAGGATGCTAATGGGGATTCTCGTAATTGTATTGCATCGGGCTATTTGAATCCAGAAAAGAGTAGAATTTTATTACAATTATGTCTAGCATGTAATTATTCAATCGACGAAACGAAGCATGTCTTTAGAGGTGTCTATGGTGGTTAGGACATTCTATATATTCCCATTTTGTAGTTTTTGTTAATTCGTCATTTGCGTCATCATATGATATATATATATATATATTTCCATTGAGAATATAATTTAAAAATATTTTGTAATATTATAACTTTTTAGTTTTATAATTACTGAAAGTTAGAAATATATAAAATTGTTTTGGGGATATGTATGAGGTTGAATATAAACCCCTTAATGTAGTAATGATGGTGGAGATAATAACAGTCAATATAAAGCTATAAGAAAGTAAAAACGAACAACAAATGAGGGAAATATTAATTCCTCATGTTTCAAGGTTTTTGTTAAAAGATACACTAATTTTTGGAGTCAATATTTTTCTGAGATAATATCACGATCAGTTTCTTTGATTGCCTCTCAATGGTGGTTTACAGTTTTTTTCTTCTTCTTCTTTTCAGATAATGTTCTTAGTTTCGTTTCGATTTTATGCATTAAGGACATGATTTCATCTATTTGCTGTCCTACTTTTTGTCACCCCATGTATCCATGGTAGAAAGGTAAGGATCATCCTTCTATCATCCTTCGATCATCCTTAATGTTTTTCAATATATTGTCTAAAACTATACAATATCTTACTAACAACATTACGATATATTTCCATTGTTTCATATTTTAGTTATTGTTTGTCCTCTAGAGATTATTCTTGATTATATAACCTTTCCACTATCCTAGATACAGTTGCTACGTCATAGTTAGGTTTTACTAACTCCATAAAAATGAGGTATTAATTTCCCTTGAAAATGGAGATCACTGTTTTTAGTTGAGTTTTTACAATCATCATCTAATTCACTAGCTAACTCATGCATCGGCTCATCTAGACACTCAGTTGAATTACAGTTCTAAGATTGATTACAATTCATACTCAATACTCGAGCAATAAATATATCTCTTATCTCTAGAGGCAAAATTTCCTATAATCAACCATCTTTCTTATAATATTCGTCACCATTTACATAGGAATATAGTTCTTGGAAATGATACTAACATGTCATATCGTATATTACGGAACCGTATAACCTCATCATCAATCGTTTTCTACTACTACCTTCCCACAGTCTATAAAATACCTAAACATTCTACCAAACAATTATTTCATATACCTGAAAGCAATACATCCAATCCATTATTCAAATCATTAGAACTGTATTATTTTGTGACGTATCACACATCAACTCATAATTTTCAGAAAGAGAGATACAGCTCTAAAAAATCTTTACTTGCCGTGAAGGGAGCCCGCCGGTAAGAAGAGAGACGTAGAGAAAAATAAAAAACGAACTGAAAGTACCCAAAACAATATAGAAAACTCGAAATGGTCAAACTTAACAGAAAGGAGTGGTCATTAGCATTAGAGAGAGAACAGGTAATACTTATAAGTTAAAGAAATATTTACTATTAAGCATTCAATTTCTAAAAAATACAACAATTAGTAGATACACAAAGCTCGATTATTGTTTGAATTTGTGATCATTGCAACTCCTTTTTATTGATATCTGTGCAATTTAAGTACCCTATAATTAAACTTGGATATTCGATTTATTTCAGGATGTACAGGAGACTAATACATACAGGTAATATGAATAGATCATCTGCTGTCTGGTCTGATTTTACTACAAGGTCTAAATCGTTAGGTATATCGTCAGTAGCAATTAAAGAAGGTGTCCTTCATGGTGATAAAGTTACAGGTGGTCCAATTTCTCTAAAGAGAAAGACAAATCGTATGAAATATAACTCACCGGCCCTTATTGACGAAACCTTTAAGACATGTTATGAATTTTTACAAGATAGGTCTGGAGCAACTTATAAATATGCTAGTAAAGAGACTATCAAACCAGCATCGATGGAGAAATTATTAGTAAAAGCTGAGATAACAAACCCAGAAGTGCAATACAATTTCCAATTTGGTGATAAGTTAGATAATTTACCTACTATGATTGATTATAATCAACCAGTTTACAGACATCTTGGTAAAAAACATTGGGAATCGTATAAACTGATGTTATTGATGCAAAGATTAGAATCATTGAAGGTTATTCCAGATACTTTACCAACATTAAAACCTCGGGCTGCAGTCGACATTAAATTTCCTTATTCTACAGGTGTTAATCAATGGATAGAGCCAGGGAAGTTCTTATCTTCTGGTGTAACGTCCTTAGAACCAATATTTAAAATTCAAGAATATGAATTAGTCAATCCAAAGGAACAACTGTACACTATTCTTATTGTGAATCCTGATGAACCAGATTTAATGAATAATTCTTTCAAAACTACTTTATCTTATGGATTAACCAATGTGAAGATTGATTACAACGATAATGTTGTGGATTCAAGAAAATTCTTTGAACGTAACATTTTAGCTAATTACCTTCCACCAGTTCCAGAAAAGAATGCAGGTATTCAGAGATTCGCAGTTTGGGTGTTTAGACAGTCTCTAAATGAGGAAACTGGTAAATGTTGTGCTCTAGATACAGAAGCTGCTACGCCATTAATTGACAGAGACAATTTTGATATAAGGGGTTTTGTTCAAGCTAATCAACTGGATCCAATCGGAGCTCATGTTTGGAGAAGTAAATGGGATAGTAACGTCAATAATATTAGAGAACAATACAATTTACCAAAGGGTAGAGTATTTTCTAGAGTGCGTGTCTAACTAATGAACTAACTTTATTATAATACTGCTACTGTCCCTACATAATAAATAAATAATATAATTTTAAGATTCATGTATATATACAATACAATTCCAATATTTTTTTTTGACCTTTTGGAATCCAAAACTATCAGAAGTTGTTAGAAGAGAACATACTTAACACTGTAAATCTGAACCAACAGCTTGAGTATGCTCTAGATTATCCCTCTTTGTCTGATAAATTAAAGAATTAAACAATGAATATGATGATATTAAACTTAGTAAACAAAAGAATATATAAAAATACGTATTATAATGTGCTACCATATGCTTATAGTATGTTGTATGGTTCAGTATTTACGATTGTTAATTAAGTTTTGTGGAATTTGATCATTACGTTGTCGCTGAAAGGATTTGAGAATAATAATAGTAATAATAATAATAACAATAATAAAATAGGGTAAAATTTGATATAATGAATTGAATTAGGATATGTAAATAGTGACCAGGTCCCAGTTTAGGTAGATTTCAATGATTCAACTGCATTCAATATAACAGCTGCATAGTCCAGATTTGGATCTTCCAGGTTGATCTCTTTACTTTCCACAACCTTCTTAGGGTGCAATTTATTCCATTCAGCCTTGGCCTCTTTAACTAATGCAAGCTCTTTTTGGTAAACATCTTCTTCAGCTTGCTTCTTAGCAGAGCAACGCAAGTTCATATCTGTCTTTAAACCAACAGCTAGACCAAGGGCTAGAGCACTATATCTCAATACATTAACAGATGACATCTTTTCAAAAAATTGTATGAGTTAGGGATTCTATATTTATAACCAAAAACAATTTCGTTATGTTAGTATTCGTTAGTATTAAAATATTTACAAATAAATACGCTGTCGTTCTTTTAGTCAAAGGTCCTTCTTGATATCTCATGAACATATAATAATAAGAAACCCTTCGAAGAAATGTCGAGAATTGTACTTTGAGTAGAACTTTGTTCACCGCAGCACTGAGCGCCGGACCAATCATAACGGAGTATGGCTTGTATTTTTTTTTAAGTACGTTAACATTAGCTTTTATAGAAATTCGGATGAAATATTCGAGTATATATAAGCATTAGTATACATAAGGAATAACAATTGAAGTATATATTCTCAGTGGTAGTACTAGTAGTACTAGTAGTTGTACATATAAATCTTATACCATTAACTTGTACGTCGTCCAGTTATTTGGAATAAGTGACGATTGTTAAAGAAACAACATAAAACTATAATGCGGACTCTATGATCAATCAAAACCTTGTTCTCCAAGTTTTGTCTGAATGTCCTGTATGCGCGTCATGATATCATTCAAATTACCACTAAGTACTTGCACTTCATCGAAATGTCTTTGCTTCTTAGCTTCCTTTATCATTGATTGAAGCATAAAACTTTGCTCTTTGAAGACCATAAGTTCTTCCCTGTATTCTTTTATTTCCTTAATGGTAAGATCGCTCATTAAATCATATAATTTTTTTACTTCAGGTTTTCCAGTATCCATAAAACTATTATTTGTGGAACTTTCGTTGGAGGAGCTACCTCCATTTAGAATACTTGGCACGTTCTTCATGGGTAGAATTTTTTCATTTATAAAGTCAGACGATATTATTTTAATAGAATCTTTGATCCTTTTCTCTGATATGTTATAAGAAGGAATTGCAGCAAGTTGCTTCGTGAGTATATTGTAGGCTTTAAATGCTCTTAATAACTTCTCTCTGTGTTTACCTAATTCTCTTAAATCTGTAATATCTGGAACTTTATTTAACTCCTTGGTAATTTCTATTTTACTCAAAAGATCTTCGAATTTTGGCAGTACTTGATTTACTACCATGGACAAATTCTGAAGATTGTAATATTTAGAAATTATAGCTGAAGGTGGATCGGACACATCCTTATTAAATTTCCTTGGAATGTATATCATATCTAAACAGTCTGAACATATCCTAATACCCTTATCAAATTCTGGATCCTCTGGAACCTTTTGAGTGTAATATAAATCGGATGTAATGCTCTGTAAAAAACGTACCAATAATTCATTGGAACAACCAGTCTCAATTCTGTCACAGACTATGGATCCACATAGACGACAGTGGTGTTTTCTTATTAGGAATGTAAATTTAGATTGGCAAATATTGCAATTTGAAACTGTTTTATCATCCTTCCAAGGAACCGTCGAACGTTCTAACGTCGCTATATCATAATCCCACTTCACAGGGCCTAAAATTCTATCACGGTACTTATTATATAATTCTATGGTGCCATTAATTAATATTACAAGTCTATTCTCAAGTTGTAACCTTCGTAACTCTCTATCATCACTTCTGTCATGTCGTATTTTATAAAATATATCTGTGAGATCTACCCTTGAGCCAAAGCCATTGTAACCTGGGCGCAAGATATAACAATTATGGCAACAACTATACCATTTCCCATTCTCTGGATCATACTGTGCCTTTAGATTCAATTTGATAATATTTCTGCAATGCCATTTACTAAATAAGTTCCCGCACTTCCTACAATTTCTGGTGTCTAATTTAGTTTTTAATATGTGCCCACAATCAAAACATTTAGCACCCGAAGTATATGCTTCCCAATGACCTGTTTTAATTCTATTGACATTCGAAATTATATTTGAACTTTTCGATTTAGCATGAGCTACATTTCGTATTTTTTTTGAAGATGTGGTTTGTTGCTTACTCATGGGAGTAACAGGTTCATTTATGTTATCCTCAAAACCATGGTCGTGATCTAAATGCACATTAAGTAATCTCAAATCACTGAACGAAATAAAACAGATAGGACAGTTAACATTCTCCATATTAAGTGTATGTGATTGAGGTGATGGAGGAATTATATCAACTCCTGCATGTAGGTTATTCATACTTTTTCAAATTATTAGATAAACCCCAATATTAGAACGCATTGACACAGTAATCAAATAATTTTCTTTGCATATATATGTATATGTTGCTGATTGCTACTTGTCTAACTAATTGTATATGTATTCGTATTCTTCCTTGTGCATTCTGTATAACTCCAGTGTTGGTGTGTCAACTGTGTTGCACTCGCTATCATTATTAAGTAAAGAATTTTATCCCTATACTTAACGCATTGTGAAGCGATTCCACTGTACGGTCCGTAGCAATGGCAGATCAATTTTACCTTTGAATATCAGAGAATAACCAAGATAGTCAACATAGATAACACATATGCACAGAATTCTTCTATATGGATATATATTTATGATAATATTATACATGGCTTATTTAATGTGGATGTATAATTCGTTTAACGAATGAAAAATGCAACTGATTCGAATCTCTTAGAAAACAATTTTTGGTAGATGGAATGCTTTTCTTTGACCGTCAATCATAGATGGTGGTCTTTCAACAACAACTAACTCATTATCAGAGATGAAGTCAAAATATAGGATTGGTCTGTACTTATCAGTGAAGAAAAACACTTTACGATCCATGGCACCCTTATTGTTCCCCAGAGATTTTAATCTATTGTTCGATGTATCTAGAGCGTCCATAGTTTCATCGAGGTCTAAATCAATATCTTCGTCATCCTCATCCTCATAACTCATAAAGTTACTTTCATCAGTAATTGTAAGGTTATCACGAGTACGTTTTTTCTGTTTTCTTTTATTGTTGACAGATAGGTCTACAGACGTATCGAATCTTGAGACCCAGTTAGCACCCCAGAACCATGCTATGTTTTCATTGATGTTACTAAAGACAACACCTTGACATTTTTCTTTGGCGTTTGTAAATTGTTTTGGTAGGTTTTCTGTGTTATGCTTAGACCATTCAGTCAATAAGGATGATGATGATGATGATGATGATTCTTCTTCGGCATTTGTTTCTTCGGCATTTTGTATTAAGTTGAATTCATAAATTTTATTATCAGCTGTTACCACGATCACAGTATTTTTCCTTTCATTTATCTTCATCGCAGTTATGAAATTAGTCAAACGGACCAAACATTTTGTTTCATTTGTCTCTAGATTAATAAGATCAACTATACCACATCCACGAGAAATTACTACGAATTTATTAGTAACATCAAGTTGATGGATATTATTAATATAAGGTACCTTGATTCCACTTTTCGTAGATTGCACATCGGAAGTTTCAATATATTCAAATTTTTCATCATTGTCACTTTCTAAATCCAAGGATACTAATTCATCATCGGCAGTACAAAAAATAATCTTAGAATTATCAATGAATTTTGCAACTCTTGTACCTGTCTTTAGTAACAGGTCATTATCTAATTTTGTAACTTTTAATTTACCATCTTCAGGTTGTAGATGGAATAGTTTGGTAGTGTAGTTTCTGCTAACAACCAATACTTGTCCATCTGGTGATAATGCACAATTGGAAATATTTTGATCGTCCTTTAACACTAATTTGCAAACTAATTTATAATTCTTGTCAAAATCTAAGTCATCACCAATAACCCAAATCTTGATAGTAGTTTCATGCCACATTATTACAAGTCTTTGTTCTTTATTAATCAAGACATTTTTGGTGAATGGTTCAATCAGTGGCATCTTTCTGTAATTACCTTCGGCATATGATGACATAGAGCTAACAACAATTGTCTTCTCGACACCACCAGACACCAAGAAATCTGCACCTTTAGATTGGTAACCGGCGAGAGCTCTTACATCGTTACCATGCAATAATCTATTAGAACTATTAACCCATTTCTTATTATCGTTACCCTTTTGGTTATTAGATATATTTCTTGTAAATTGGAAAATTTTTCTATCGACACCTGCAGTGAATACATGTGTATTGGTAACGTCAGTAGCCAAACATAGAACATCTGCATTATGAGGTTTAAATGAACTAGATAAGGTAGCATATTGGAAGTCCCAGAATTTTACAGACCCAGTAGAATCACCGGAAACAATTTGGTTAGTGGCTGGTAAATACAAAATACTCCATACTAAAGTAGATTCATTTTTGGCTTTATCGACCTTCATGGTGTGTAATAATCTACCTCTACTCTCGCTATTAGGGATACAATTCCATACTCTGATTCTTCCATCAGAACAACCACCAATAACGTAATCGTTCTTGTTCCATGTCAATGTCAATATTCTTGATTCTTGTCTTACAAGGATTGTGTCGTGTTCCAACGCACCTGGACCGCCTGAAATGTCAATAATCACAACAGTACCATTATCACACCCTACAGCCAACTTATCCATATTATCATTAATTGCTAATGACCATATAACACCTGCGTTACAATCATAATTCTTCAAAACTTCTCCGGTAGCCAAATTCCATTCGGTAATTACAGTAGACCCACCGATAGAGAACAATCTCAGTGGCTCACCGCTAATATTACACCAGCAGAGGCCCTCTACAGAACGACCTTTACCACCTGGAATGGTAACTTCTTGGAACCAGTTGTTTCTTGGGTTCCATATCTCGATATCACCGTTAGATCTACCGATAGCAACACGCAAATCTGAAGGGGTTAGTTTCTCCAGGTTAGATCTATGAGAAAAGGCAATAGATGTTATATTACCAGGAGTGAAGTCCACAAATCGAGATCTATGTATGATAGTCTGAGATCCTGTCATTTTTTAAATGTATAGCTAGAATGATTAACAGTAATGAATGTCCTCTGTCCTTCTTGTTTTAGTACTAAAAAAATTAACTCTCAACAATTCTTTCGATAAGCTAGTTCAGACCAGATGTATAAGTTTAAACCTTTTATAAGTGAATAATCTATACTTGAAATAGGGTAGCTGTAATCCTAAAGTGTCTCTCTCTTTCTTAACTAGATTGATATAGGTGACTTCCTAAATATTTCTGTTTGAGATGAGATGAGATGAAATAATATTTTTAAAAATTTTTCACTTCACTTTACCGAGCGCCGCTGCGTATTTTTGATGGAAGGGCTCACTCTATATTAGTTACACATAACACAGAGCTACTCTTTCATAGTTAAGCTATATGGATAAACAGTTTGATGAAACGTGAGTTTTTAACTCTAGTTGGAGCATACAACTGTAGGAATAACCAATTTAAGAAATATATCAATATTGTAGTTTCTTAGTTAGACTGTGTATCTCCTCATGTAGTGTTTGTAGCTTTTCTTCTTGCAGATGCCATATAGTGACACCCGTACACCACATGATGGGTTAGCTTTGTTTACATTTTAAATTAAATTCCACATTTAAAAACAATATTTTTGATCCACAGCTATAAACCTCCCTCAAAGAAAACATACATCAACAATTGAATTATCACTACTGATTCAATAGGTGTACAACTAGGTTATCCTATATTGCATACTTTAAATTTTGGATTAGAATTTGTACTGTCACAAATAGAATTTTAATAATTAAGGTTTTCGTGTTAGGAGGACTGGTTTTTAAAAATGGTAACAGATGAGACATATGCAGACGATATCAACAACAAGATTTTCAATTCTCTGGCTGACGTATTCCAGCAAGCTCAGGAATCGTATGCAGGGCATCGCAAACATATTGTTGTATTGAAAAAGATACAATCAAAGGCTACTGCTCAAGGTTATTCAGATGCATTTAACTATTGGTTTAATAAACTTGTCACTAGAGTGTTACCCCTTAAGAAAAGTGAGATAATAGGTGATAGGATTATTAAATTAATTGCAGCATTCATTGCTTCTTTGGATAAAGAAAATGAGTTGATAAGTAATAATAGGAAGAAGGAATCTTCAAATTCCGATGAAGAATCTGATAATAATCAGAGTTTAGAAGTTGATCTATCTGAAAAGGAAAAAACTACCTCAAAATTTATTGATGGTTTTATAAGGCATACATTAAGAGGGGTAGAAAGTAAAGATAAGAATGTGAGATTTAGAGTGATGCAATTATTAGTCGTAATTATGGATAATATTGGAGAGATTGATGTTAATCTTTATAACTTATTGATGTGGTCGCTAAAGAAAAGAATATATGATAAAGAACCTATTGTACGTATTCAAGCTGTTTTCTGTTTAACCAAACTACAAAGCGATGATGAAGATAACGACCAAGATATGGATGAAGAATCGGCTGAAACAAAAGCTACCGATACCTTAATGCAATTAATACAGAATGATCCCTCTGCAGAAGTTAGGCGTGCAACAATGTTAAATATTGTAAATAATGAAAATACTAGAGCACACATTCTGGAGAGAGCAAGGGATATAAACCCAGTAAATAGAAGATTGGTTTATTCAAGAGTGTTAAAATTGATGGGTAAAAGATGTTTCACAGACTTAAATCCAAGAATCTTAGATCAATTGATGGAATGGGGGTTAGAGGATAGAGAGGAAAATGTAAGAAAAGCATGTCAAAGATTAATGTCTAATCATTGGGTTGGCCTGTTTAATGGTGATCTGATCGAGCTTTTAGAGCATCTGGATGTGGTGAACTCAAAGAGCGCAGTAACAATGATCAATAGTCTTTTCTCATTAAAACCAGAGATTTTATCACAGATTAAATTGACAGAGGAAATATGGAATAAGCTGACTGTTGAATTCGTATTTTTATTCCGTTGTTTCTTCATTTATTCTTCAGAAAATAACTTAATCGAGGATATCGATGGTAGTTTTCCAGAGGCTTCTCGTCTAGCAAATTACTTGGATATTTATATATCCAAGAGATTTTTGGAAGAAGAAAAGACGAGTTTGTCACCTATCGATAAAACACACTTGGAATTTATTATAGAGCAATTGTTGATAACTGCGCATAGATACGACTATAGTGACGAGATCGGTAGGCGGTCAATGTTAACAGTGATTAGAAATATGCTTAATATTACAGAGTTACCTGACTCATTAATAAAATCTGGACATGAAGTTTTGAAATGTTTATCCATAAATGAAAAGGATTTTATATCCATGACTATTGAAATAATTAACGATATTAGAGACGACGACATTGAAAGTCAGGAACAAGAAGAAAATGAAGAAAGAGCTAAACAAACAAACGAAAGGTCTCAACCCTCTATAAATAACGATGATGATGATGACGATGATGATGCTGTTGGCTCATTCCATTCTGCGGTAGAGAATTTAGTTAATGGCAATGAAGAAATTAATGAAGAGGTGTTAGGTAGCATACAGCCAGAAAGGGAGGCAAGACCTCAAGCCATCTTATTATGTTTAACAAGAGCATGTCGTATGCTAGAATTGGTCACTGAAAATGTTTCAGGGAACATTTTAATAACGTCGTTGATTGATACCTTAATCACGCCTGCTGTTAGAAATAGTGAATCTACCATCCGTGAACTAGGTGTTAAATGTTTAGGCCTTTGCTGTCTATTAGATCTTCAGTTATCGATTGGGAGTATGTATATCCTTGGGATGTGTATTTCAAAGGGTAATGCATCACTTAAATACATTGCATTACAAGTCATTGTTGATATATTTTCTGTTCATGGTACAGCCGTAGTAGATGGTGATGGCAAAGTGGATTCGATATCCATTCATAAGATTTTTTACAAAGTATTGAAAAACGATGAACATAGGGAATGCCAAGTGGTTGCAGCTGAAGGGTTGTGTAAGTTGTACTTGGCAGATATATTTACAGATGACGATTTGTTTGAGGCTCTGATTTTGTCTTATTTTTCTCCAGTTAATTCTACTAATGAGGCTTTAGTTCAGGCATTCGCCTTTTGTATTCCAGTTTACTGTTTTTCACACCAAATTCATCAGCAACGTATGGGTCGCATTGCATCTGATATGTTTTTAAGATTGTGTATACTGTGGGACGGTCTTCAGAACTCTAGTGACCCAGAAGTTGATAAAGAGAAAATGATGAAGCCCAACATGATATTTCAGCAACTGGTATTCTGGACAGATCCAAGAAAAATTGTAAACCAATGTGAAGAAAATTATCGATCAGATGTCTCCCAATTGAAGTTTTTATTAGAAATTCTTAAAGCCATTACTCAAATTGAGAATAGGGCCATCAAAAGAATGATCTTAACGAATCTAAATACATTTTATGTTACTTCATATCAAGATACAGAAATTCTCGAAGAGCTCTTAATGCATCTAGAGGATATATTAGAAAATGAACAAATAGACACCATTAGCAGAAATTCTTTAGAGAAATTTAAAAACACTGTAGTGGACGTGATAGAAGTAGCACGGTGTAACCACTCTATTCATGAATCTAAAACTTCGGTGGCATCCGATGAATTAACTACCGAACAGTACTCTCAAATATTAGAATCATCTCAAATTATCGATAATGAAATAAATGCCGACAATGAATACGAAGGGAATATATTAGAGAGTAATAATTTAGTTAATGATGATAATGATAACAAGGTTAATGATTCTATATCGAAACCTGACAGCGCAAAGAAAAGAAGCAGAAGTACGATGGAAACGGGCGATGAAATAATAAATAAAATACCGTCCAAAAACTTGGTTACTAAGAATGTCAGTTTTGCAATATCTTCCAAGTCTAGTGATGAGAGTCAAACTGGACAAGAAAACGAAAGTTATATTGAAAGGCATAGTGATAGTGATGTCAGTATGGAAGACTGAAATTCGGAACAATATTTCTAATATCTAATCATGTTATGTCCTGTATACGTTTTTATATAAATTGTTAAAGTTTAATTTAGTAATTGCTTTAATAATGCAGTGTTGAAATGTGTATATATGCTTTACATGTTATAGATAATAAAACAAAAGGGAGAGTAACAATGCCCATATCGTTTACTTTTAGTTAATTCAAATTTTCGGCTTTTTCCAACAAATGTTTCATTTCCTTTAATTGCTGTTCTGTAATTTTGATTGACTCTTGAAGTTTTTTAGCGTCAGGTATATTCTTCTGTTTTATCTGATATTCCGTGTCTATATTCTTATCGTTCGTCGTATAGCTTAGTTGATTAAAACGATCTACAGCATCACCACGATTCTCTAGCCAATCCCAGATAGAGCTCTCAGAGTTAGTGACAACATTGCCAACGAAATCAGATCCTTTGTAATGATTACCCTTTGAATTCATAATATCATCTTCGTAAACTTCATATAGTGTTTTGATATTAGGGACGTAATTATATTCATTTCCATCAATCAGAATTCTACCTGGTCTTACCAATACAACAGATGGACCTGAGCCACTGCGGAACCAACGGATTACTAAAGAAATTAAAAATATCACAGTGAATAATGCAACCACTATACCTGAAATGGAAGTTAAATCGAAATTGTCAATCAAAGAAGATATTAATGATGGCGACGAATTGTCTGCAATATCGGCCGGGACATTTGTAGTAGTCGAAATCTCACGTTTTGTCTCTGAGGCTTGTTTGATTGTCTTTGTTCTTTTCCTGGTCTTTTTCTTTGTGGAGCCAGCGTTTGAAATTATTTCTTTTAATTCAGCAACAACGGTATGTGAACCATTTCTTTGTCCTTCAATAGAGCCCTTTTCAATTGTACCTTTAAGTAATGATTTTCCTGTCCATACAACGTTGGTGACAACCATCATGTTCGTCGAGTTTGATGCACCCCATGATAAAAATATTCTAGAGTGAACAGAAAAACTGTTCCCATATGGAACATCAGGGGATCTAACAATTTGCGTCGTTAGTGTGTATTCATTAAAGTCTTTGTGATCAATTTTTTCGCTAACAACACATTTAGTTTGTTTGGGCCCAATAGAATTGTTTAGTTTCTTGATATAATTAAATTCTCTCTCATTGTTTGTGAATTTTGGAATAGTGGATATATTGAAGTTATTTTGCTTTTCTAATATAGAGAGAAAGTATGATGTGTCGTTACCATACAAAAGTTCGAACACAGTTCCAAGTGGAGCAGGGATATTCATAGATTCTTCTACCACCACATCAGTTTTTTCCTTATTGTAAGGTGGTGTTGTTGGTGAGTGTGTAGCTGGACCTGCAGTCGGTAGTGTAGAAATTTCAACAATTTCTTCAGATTTTTCCTTTTCTGTCGGTTTTCCATCTGCCATGTTATCAAACATATCACTTTTTAACATCTTTTCGACCTCTTGATTCATTACTCTTGTAGTCTCCACCACACCGTCATAGGCACCTTTTTCGATAGCACCTTTTAGCCAACTTTTAGAAGTCCATTCAGTTGAAAAGTAGACCGTGACCTTCGTGTAATTATTTTTATCCCAAGTTAGAATAGTGTTGTTCTTAACAATAAATGCATTTCCTGATGGTACATCAGGAGTCTTTGAAGATTGAATAACTTGAATATAATCGTTAAGGTCATAATGGACAATTTTATCATTTATTAAACATTTCGTTTTATTTGGTCCAAATCCAGCATTCAGTGGTTTTACATATGAATAGTCACGACTCTTAGATTCTATCAGAGGTGGAATATTAGAAAGCTCATAGTTCTTTTGAGCTTTCAAAATCTGTTCGTAGGGGGCAACATCATCACCGAACAAAATAGCAGCAACCTTACCTAATGAGCCTTTAACAACTGTTTCGCCTACCAATTTTTCATTTTCTGCTGGCGAATAATTAGCAGTTGTGGAGGCATGCTTAACAGGACCTAATTTAGAAGAAAAGGATGATTTTGTAGCTTTGGGACCAGATATGTCGGCAAATATATCGTCATCTATATCATCACTGGAAGTCATATCAGTATCATGCAAATCAGAGTCATTATCGTCATCATAAAATTCACTTCCTTGACTTAAATTTCCGTTGCTGCTGTACGTACTTAATAACTCACTATCAAAATCGTCATCATTATCACGAATATGTCTCTTTCCTAAGATGATTTGATTCCAAACATCCGTTATCAAATCAAAGGTTGCATCCCTTGAAATAAACGAGGCGAAAATATATTTCGTATGCAAAGTATCTATGACAATACCATTTGGGAATATACCAGCTGTAGTCTTCTTTTCAATCTGAACAATTTCGTTAAATGGGATAATAACAGTACTAACCCAACCCAGAATATTAGAGTAAAAGCACAGGTGTTGGTCTGATATATACATTCTACCTTGTAAAAGAATATCTCTTGATAGTGCACAACTGTGGTCGATAATTAATTTCTCATTAGGGTTCAAACCGACGTCTTTAAATAGATTATGGAAGTCTGTATTTCTTTTTTCGTTAACATATTCGATACCTTCTAATTCTCTATAATTGTCATCATTGATACCCATAACGGGTGTCAATGAACCCGAGAGATTTGTGCTAGTTCTAGGCCTAGGCTGATCTAAAATTTCATTGCTGTTTCTATATCTATTGATTGAGTTTCTTAATGATATACCGGGAATTGGTACTTTCATATTAATATTTGGAGAAAATGATCTTCTATTCAAAAAGTTTCTAGATAATGTTCTAGATTTACGTGGGTTTGTTGTACCGTTCATTGCTTCGTCATTTGAAACTGAAGAATATCTGGAGTTTCTCTTTTCTTTGTTGTTTTTGTCACCATCCTGTTGTACGTTAGCTTCATGTGCAGGTAAAGTTTTACTCCTAGCTCTACTTTTTTTTAGCATTTCCTCCAAGGATTCTTGTTTTGTCAAGTTAACGTAACTACTATTCCTGACATTGGTTTTATCTAATCCTTCGAATGTTACAGGTTGGTTTTCTGTGTTGTTATGGCTATCATTTGGTGACATAAGTACTGGAGAGTTGAAGCTACCATCTCTGTTGTGGTTATTGTTGTTTGTTCTCTCTTGACTTTCATTATTCTGGCTATTTGTTATATTAATGTTGGAGGTTATAGTATCTTCAATATTTGGGTTACTATCAAATGCATCTAGAGTTAAGTTACCTTTCCCTAGAGATGATATTGCCGGTGGAATATTTTTCAAAGGTTCAAATTTTACCTTATTTACTATATCTTCGTTTAAAGGAGCATTATTAGCTGATTCCTCATTAGAGTTGACAGAAAATCTTGATTCAGTGGATGCAGGTGTTGTCAACCTAAATTTATTATGGGTAGGTGGACTTAACAGGTTATTAGATAAAATATTCGTTGCATCATTTATTGGCGACAAATGTATATGATTTCTGGGAACCTCAGTACTATTACGAGAGGATTCGTTGTTACTATTGCTATTGTTTTGATTACTTGCTGACAACAAATAATCTAAATGTTTTAAGAAGGATGTACTTCTGTTGATAGGTGGGGCACTTTTATTTGCTGGATTGTGTATCACAGTATCATTTATTCCAGTATCATTCGATGGACTATCCTCTTTGCTGTTTGATTGTCCTACCAATTTCGAGTTTCTTGGGTTTATTGGCTCATTACTATTTCTATTACTGGTAGTGTTGTTCATCAAGGCCAAGATTTCGGGGCTATTAGATCTGTCCGTTATGTTCCTACTATTGTTCCCATTATTGTTATTTGGTTCTTCGATGGATATTCTTGGTATATGATTCATTGCACTGTGAGCGAATGATAAGAGAGTACCGAAAATACCATCATTAGAATTATTTTCATTATTATTTGTTTGATCTGTTGTTGTATGTTGTTCCAATTTACTTTCCGATTTTGATTTATTTGTATAAAAATCTGGTAAAGAGTTATTGGTTTTTTTATTTCTTAAATAAATATCCGGATTCTTTTCATTGTGATTCTCTATAGTTACAGGGATATTGAAAAATCCATGTGCAGTATTAATTCTTTTCATTCCATTACCAGTAGCACCATGTAATGATCTTCTTGGAGCAAAAGAAAAATCTAAATCCTTCTCGGCACTACTACCCTTACTAGAAATATCATCTTTATTATTGTTAGTATTAATTGTGTCTGTATTATTATTATTAAAATCTTCTTCATCCTCACGTAGGGAACGAGTTCTCTTTGTTCTATTACTTTTCACAGAGACTATATCTGGTAATTCAAATTGGCTTGTTCTCTTACTTGGAGCATAACTAAATTCCCCATCATTGTTAATGAATTCAGCCGAGATTCTTCTCTTCGCAATCTCATGATGACCTTTCCCTGATCGTCTTAATGATATTGATGGTCTTATCAATGCGTCTACAGATTCGTATTTTCTTGATTTCCTTCTATTTGGTAATGAGTTTTGTTTTAAGTCTCTCTTCTTTTGTTTATGCTTATTGTTATGATTATTATTATTCGAACTATTATTCTTTGAATGAATAATATTTGACAACTTCAATTTTTTGAAAAATGAAGAATCACTTATTGATCTATTCTTCGATGACATTATTTAAAAAAAGGTAGTGGGTGCAAAAGAATAAAAATAAGAAATTGGTAATAACTTAAATATTGAACAGTAATATTATCAATTACAAAAAATATCAAAAAAGAAAATAGAAAAAAGAAAAAAGAAAAAAGAAAAAAGAAAAAAGAATTTCCAGGGGCGATGATGATCTTGTGTATCAAATTTTATTTGATCAACTAGGATTGTAAATTATTAAATGAAGTTCTATTTTAAATATAATGTATCTAAACCATCCACAGACTATACACTGAATATAAAATATGTTAATCAGTTATCTTTTCGTTTTTTGCCTGACCTCTAATTTATAAACAAAAATTGTGATAATTTATCCGATGATTATAATGTTCGAGAAAGAGTATTGACAAAAAAAATAAAATATCAAATGGACATTTACCAGACTCCTATCTGATTATATTATTTTTGGAATATACCAGCCTAGATCTCTTGACAAACTAGTGTCCTATTCGTTCGAACTATCTATAAGGTTTTCCCCTTTTACGTAAGATAGATCTTGTAGATTCAAAGACTTGAACCAAACAGAATTACATCAGCAAAAACAAAATAAAAACAATAAATTGTCAGGTTTGGCCAAGTTTGAGTTCCTTTACTTTTCTTCGCCTTTTGTGACAACGAAAATAAGATTTTGGCAATCCGCTCGGTCACACAGAAAATGAGATGAAAGTGGAATTTACGGGAAGGAGATAGCGAGAGGCTGAAAAGTGTGGGGGTGCGACGAATGGAAATGGCGGGTAACCCAAGAGAAAAACAACGAAATAGGCGTGGGGAGGTCACTGAGCACGACTACCGAATAGCCATATGATATATAGTAGTAAAATATATCAATAAGGCTAATAACGATACTACTAGTGGATCATCAGTATTAATTCGTATTAACAGAGCCATGATATGATAAAGAAGTAGATTTTGATATTCTGATTCTTATATATGTCGTATGTATGTATATATCATTATACATTTTCAGTATTATCTTTTTTTTTTTGATGTGTTTGCAAAATTTTGGTTCGAATGATGGGATGTAAGTATATTTATTGTATGTGGAGGATAGCACACCTCGCAAACTTTAGCATTAACGGTCTTCTGCCCATTCATTTTCACGTCTAATGGCAGCTTCTTCCTCCGGCGTGAAATCATTGACGATGTTAAACGTCCTTCTGATCTCTTCAGGTGATCTGCCCCTTATCATCTCGGCGACAACTTTACAACCTGCATCTAATAGAGGTTTAATATTTAAATAATTTGCAGCTAGGATGATTTCATATAGCATCTCTTGATCCACTTTTAAAAACTCACGATCCCATGCATCAACTGGAGCAGACTTTCTGGAATCATCATCATCTTCATCTGGGAAATTAGAATTCCTGTGATGTTCAGCCCATTCAATAACTTTTTGTAAAACAGATGATCTCACATTAGGAACAGGCATCACAATCTCATCATCTTCATCTTCATCCTCACCATCAGAATCGGAATCCACATTACTATCATGCATATCATTCAGATAGTTTTTTAATAAAAGAGAACGCTCTGCAATCTTCTTCTCTACAGTAAATTTTTCACCTTCACCACTAACTAATACAACAGTTTGATTCTTTACTTGTGACATTTTTTTTTAACTTTACACCCTCCTTTTATATGCACCTACGTATGTGTATATGTATAACCACTCACTAATTTTTATTCAACAATATGGTTATATGTATAGTCAACACTCTATTTTGCTCCCTTTACTGACTTAAAATATGCATATATTTAGTGTTATATATTTATTATTAATCACACTTTCAATGTCTAATTTAGAACTAACGGAAGTGGAAAAAATGAAGCGGTTAAGAGAGAGAAAAGCCGGAGAACTTGAAGCACACCGTATTCGTACTTAGCGATAAACATTTTATGGCATCTATGGCTATACATTGAAATTACTATAAACACTGGAACTCAAATCATCTAGGGCCTCTAATCTATCTAGACATTGTAAGTATTCGTTAGAGGCATCACTACTATTATTACTAGTATTGTCTGCTAACATATCACGGCATGTATCCTTTGATACTATGGCAAATAAAGCCATTTGAAATGACGATTCTGCAGAGACATTGGAAGTCTTTTGATTCTTGGCTATCACTTTTTCCTCAATGTGGTTCATAATGTATTGATACGACTCATTCACTAGATTCTCAAGAACAATATTTGATGCACTACTTTGTACACATTGTGTTAGTTCATGCATTAATCTTCTTAGTACTGTGTCATCCTCTTGTAATAGTTCTAATTCATTTTGATCTAACGTTTGTTGCAACACAGTAAATAAATCATTGTCACTAGGAAGTATAACGTCCCGTATATTAATACTATCTTCCTTCGATATCAAAATATCCTTGTTGATCGCTTGAAAGACATTACTTAGATGATTACTGAACTCTTCTAAGGTCAATTGATCTCTAGGATTAATTGTTTCGAATTCTTTCGCAACATACTTATGTGCTAATCTTTTAAATGTTTTGTATCCGTTGTTCAATAACCACCATGAAAGTGATAAATAGCCTTGTTCGTTGATATATGCGATCTTATTACTGTTGTTGTTCGACTCCATGGAATAACCGGTAGATGAAGTTATTGTATTCTCATTCGTTGAATTGATGATATTATCTTGATTGTTAGAATTATTCCAAAACCTACTTATCAGAACCATTATTGAGTATTGTCCCTTGGAATCATTTTTCTTTTTCTCTACATTCATATTCACTGCACTCTCCAAATATTCTCTTCTAGCTAGCATATTCAATTGTAATCTTGTCAATAAGAAAAAAGTAGACACTGTATATGTAATGGTAATAATTTTCACAATACTATTGCTCTTTAATTCGTTCCATAGTTCAGCTTTACTTTTTTCAATATTTTCTTCATTTGTGGACTCTTCGGTGACTCTTTTCTTATTCTTCAATTCATTAAACAATTCATCAATATTTAACTCGTCTTTATTAAGAACTATTGCAAACACGGGTATTAATTGACACAGAGTTCTTAATGAATCCTCTTGGGTCTGTATAAATCTTCTACGCATTTGTTCCCTTATGAAATGATCCTCACTGATTCGTAATTGTTGCCTGTATAGCCACCTCTTGACTAGAAACATTACAATAGAACCAGTAGCACAAAGTGCCGTTACACTGAACAAAGATATCAACAACTTCCATCGGTGTCTTTGAAGTAATGATCGTCTGTTATTAATATTGGCCATACTTGTTATGTTCCTTGAGATTAATGTATGTGTGACCTGTTAAAAAGAAGGTATCTTTTATATTCCTAATAGTAAAATAAATCAAATGTCCCAATAATTGTCTGTGCTTTACTAGATATTATTGATTTCAAAAGTAAATTATTTAAATTTATTGCATTTCCCCAATATCATCGCCATCACAATCTCCATACATTTTATTTATATATTTATTAATTCTGTTATTGTTGTTTGGTAATTTTAATCTGATCGCGTTGACCATTACAATCGCCGTTGAACTTCTAAATTTGACAAAGGACTTGAAAAAGGTAACAGTATTAAATACTGAAGTAATAAAGGTGGTAAAAGTCATCTGTGTATTAAATTGGAAAAAGAGGTAAAAAGTGGTAGTTCAGAGAGAGTGTGAGATATATAGGTTTTACCAAATATAGGAGTGTCAAATTACGGTGTTTCTTTTGCTATAATATATATATATATATTTACATATTAGAAGAAATGTCACAAGAGGATATAGATAGTTTTATGGCTATTACAGGTGCTGGTAATGGTGAGTTAGCCCAGAATTTTTTGGATATGGCTGGAGGTAATTTGGATACTGCCATCTCTTTATTTTTTGAACATGGTGGGAATGCACAATTACATAACGGAAGGATGTCTGCTATTGGTAATGAAGGTACAGGATCCACAGAATATCAATCCGATTCTGATATTGCTCAAAAATTACAAAACGAAGCCTATGGTGAAGAACCTGTGAGAGCCCCCGATGTTGCAAGACATGAAACATTAACGGAAACACATGTATTTCCTGGTTCATTTGGTGGTGTAGGTGGTAGTTATGCTCCATTGAATAACGCTAATGATATGTATGATGAAGGTGCCCCTGAAGGTATCTTTAATCAACGTGAGGATAATGAATATGAGAATGATATGTTCCGTCCCCATTATAATCCAGATTTAGATAACAGTGAGGACTCTGATTCTGATGATTTGGATATTAATGACCACGATTCCGATTTTGAATATGTGGAAGAACCAGTGGTAGAATTGGATGATGATGGAGAAATTAAAGAATACTATAAGATGGTGCGTAGACCTAAGAATTTTACGAAGGAGGAAAGATTGGCAAGGTTGTTCAGACCGCCTTTTGAAATAATAACGAAATTATCATTAGATGATGCTAAATTGAAGGCAAGAAAGAGAAAGAAATGGATTATGGTTAATATTCAAGATTCAGGCATATTTCAATGTCAAACTTTAAACAGGGATTTGTGGTCAGAAAAGGATATTAAGAGGTTAATAAAGAAAAATTTTATCTTTTTACAATATCAATTTGGTTCTCGTTCTGCAGAACCATATAGAAATTTTTACAATTTACAAAATAAGGATGATCTACCTCATATTGCAATATTGGATCCCATGACTGGTGAACGATTAAAAATGTGGAATCATATAGTGCCGAAACCTGAAAAGTTTATTGAGGAAATGCAATCCTTCTTGGCTCAATTTTCATTGGACCCTACTTCCACCAATCCAACTGTTAATGAACCACCAAAACCTATAGATCCAACAACTTTAACTGAAGAACAACAAATGGAATTGGCCATCGAGCAATCACTAGGTGACTCAAAACAGAACCCAATTAGTTTTGCAAACGAAAGTGATAATGAAATGGATGTCGATAAAGAACCTATAGAACCTGAAGACAAAGACATTTTCATGCAAATTAAACCTGTAAAACATGAAGAACCTGGTAATAAACCAGGTGTCACAACAAGAATCCAAATTCGTACTGGGGATGGTAAGAGATTCATTAGAAGGTTTGACTCCATTGAGGATACTGTCAGGATAATTTATGAAGTAATTAAAACTGAGATGGAAGGCTATGATAATTGTAAATTTACATTAAGTGATCACCATAGACATGATTTGATAGAGAAATTGGATTCAACGATAAATGATGCAGGGCTTAAGAATAGTTCGTTGTTATTGGAACAGATTGAAGATGATGATGAATGATATCTCCTTAAGTAAGTTCATATGCATACATATACATATATATATATAAGTGATTGTGGTGAACTAAACATACCTCTTTTGTTCGTGTTGTATATTCATCTTCGTTTCTTCATTCTTGTTATATTTAGTTATTATTATTAATTTTGGTGATAAAAAAAAAAGAAAAAAGAGCGTAATTACACTGCGACGAAATTACATAAGCTTGATATATATTTAAACTTGTTTTTAATTAAGTAAAGAGAGCACATAAGGATAGAAGGAAAAAGAAAAGATTATTGTCATACAGTAGAAGTTCAACGGGATCTAACTTTATTTATCTATAGTCGTTTTGAGAAATTTATCTGGGAAAATTGTGCCATATTTGTCCTTTATACGAGTTTACAACAATGAAGTATTTAACCGTGATTGTAACATTGTTGTTACAAATAATAGCAGTTTCAAATGCGGAACACACTAATAACTGGGCTGTTTTAGTTTCAACATCGAGATTTTGGTTCAACTATAGACATATGGCGAATGTGTTGAGTATGTATAGGACAGTGAAAAGATTAGGTATCCCGGATTCCCAAATTATTCTGATGTTAAGCGATGATGTCGCTTGTAATTCCAGAAATTTATTTCCAGGTAGTGTATTTAACAACAAAGATCATGCTATCGACCTATATGGTGATAATGTTGAGGTTGACTATAGAGGATATGAAGTTACGGTAGAAAATTTTATTAGATTATTAACAGATAGATGGTCTGAAGATCAGCCAAAATCTAAGCGATTATTGACCGATGAGAATTCGAACATTCTGGTGTATATGACTGGACATGGAGGTGATGATTTCTTAAAATTCCAAGATGCTGAAGAAATTGCGTCTGAGGATATCGCAGATGCCTTTGCACAAATGTATGAAAAGAAAAGATATAATGAGATTTTCTTCATGATTGATACTTGTCAAGCGAACACTATGTACTCCAAGTTCTATTCACCAAACATTTTGGCAGTTGGATCTAGTAGATTTGAAGAAAGTTCATACTCACACCATTCTGATGTTGAAATTGGTGTTGCTGTTATTGATAGATTTACATATTATACCTTAGAATTTATGGAAACCATTGAGAAGGATTCCGATTTGACCTTGCAAGATTTATTTGATTCGTATACTTTTGAAAAGGTTCACTCTCATGTAGGTGTTAGAACAGATCTTATAGAGAGAGATCCAAAGGATATATTGATTACAGATTTCTTTGGTAACGTTCAAAATCTAATACCGGATAATAATGCGAAGTTTTCGGATGCTAAAATGAAGGATTCTGATAACATCATCAATCTTTCTATTCAAAAGGAATCTGAAATTGCACAAGTTGAAAAAAGTCACAGAATTATTAATAATACTTTTACGAAAGCACTAGGTAATAATAACTTTAAAGTAGCATCAGGTGAATCTAATAGTTATTCTTCATTGATTGGTTTAGGTGCTTTCGCCTTGATTGCTCTTTCAATCTTGTTATCAAAATAATAAATATCATTCCCAGTTTTAAGGTTTTAAATATTACATAACTTCATATATAATGACATACATATAATGAACTTATATAGATACTATAATAAGTTCAACAATAAATTTATATACATATACATATATATATGTTTTTCAAAACAAATTCGTTGTTGTTTGTTGTTGATACTTAGTGACAACTATCGCGGTTTAGTCAAAGTTTACGCGATGAGCTTTAATAGAGATATTTTACTATTCCTGAACGGTTTGGTATACATAATTAGAAGCACATAGCTGGAATCATATACTTTACATCACCATAAAAATTAAACATTGTAATCATTAGATAAACTGATAATGATTACACAAAGGATATTTTTTGCTCTATCAAAACAATTACAACATCTTAAACCGTTCGTCCCTACGAGAAACGTTTGGGCATCAAAACTTCGAGATTATCAAAAGGATGCAATAAATGAATGCGTGAATGCCATTAGCAGTGGAACCATGAGAATAGGTGTTTCTATGGCTACTGGTGGTGGTAAAACTGTCATATTTAGTAGTCTTATAGAAAAACTGAAACAGGACAGTGGAAAGGCAGATTTTAAGACATTAGTCCTCGTACATCGTCGAGAGCTGGCGTTTCAGGCAGCTCGTACCATTAAAGAGAGTTTTCCTGATAAAAAAATTCAATTAGAAATGGGTAAACAAAATGTTGATATTCATCAATCGGACGTTATAATCGCATCTGTGCAATCATTGATCAGAAGACTGGATAAATATGGAAAAGATGATATTGATTTGATAATTATAGATGAGGCACATCATGCAGTCGCTAATTCTTATACAAGGATCTTAGAACATTTTGATGCTGCTGATAAAAAATCCCAAATTCCAGTCGTAGGATTCAGTGCAACATTTGAAAGAGCAGATAATAAAGCGTTATCAGATGTGATAGATAAAATTGTCTACCACAGAGGGATGTTAGATATGATTAGTGATAATTGGTTGTGTGAAGGTAAATTCACCACTGTAAAGATTGATACAGACCTTTCAAAAGTAGAAAAATCATCAAGTACAAAAGATTTTAAGTTAAATAGTCTGTCTCGTGTAATGAACGTTCCAGAAGTCAATGAGATGATATTACTTACATATCTACAAAAGAAAAAAGAAAATAATCTCAAATCTACTTTATTATTTGGGGTCGATATAGCTCACGTAACAAATCTTCATGAATTGTTTACTTCCCACGGTATAGGTTCAAGATACGTTACCTCAAATACAAAAGATGAACAGAGAGACGCTATTATTAAAGAGTTCAAGGAAGGGAAAATTGAGATATTAATGAATTGTGGTATTTTTACTGAAGGTACCGATATGCCCAATATTGATTGTATCTTACTGTGTAGACCAACACGTTCAAGATCGTTGCTCGTCCAGATGATCGGTCGTGGCCTTCGTTTGTATCATAGTAAAGCCTACTGTCATATTATTGATTTTGTCGATTCCTCTGATGTTGGGATTATATCAGTCCCTTCCTTGGTAGGGATATCAAGAAGTGAGGGTACATTAGATTCGCGCACTTTAGAAGAGTTGGAAAAGATAAAAGAAGAACAGATTGAGGCCAAACGGTTGGCTATGGAGAGGGCTGCTGAAAAGGCTCTTGAAGATCAAAACATCTTTAACGAAAATAATGCGAAATTTAAAGAATTTGTTGCCAATACTGATGCAATGGATCTTACTATGACTACATATGAATCTCTAAGTCAATTTTTCGAGCAAACAAACAATACAGATGTGAAAGCATTAGAAAATATGTCATTTTATGGGAAAGAACAGGAACTGCTTGGTAGATCTAAGTATCCGTGGGTAAAATATAATAAGGATGCATGGGCTCTGTCATTACAGAAGGGGCACCACCTGCGTATTTATATGAAACGGGTCTCAGAAAATGGTAAGAAAGTGGCACGTTATACGTTGAAACTATACCGAGAAATTCCAAAATTTTTGAGAAACGATATTTCATTTAGATATTCTGCTAAAGAAATTTTGACTAGTGATGATCTCTTGGACATTGTAGCCAAATCTGAAGAAATCCTGGTCAATCTTTATAAGGACTCTTCTTACAAGTCAGGTTCGCCAATTATGATACCCATTTCAAAATACTCGAAATGGAGGAGAGAGAAGGCTTCTGAAAAACAAATAAAATTTGTGTCAAGGTTATTGAAAGCTGAATTGGCCAAATGTGAAGCCGAATTTAAACGGATTGATTCGAATGAGATCACCACTTATGCCACAGACATGAATAAAGGGACAGCATCTGATATTCTGTTTATGACAAGTCTAGCACCAACATATTCAGTACGACAACTCCTGAAAGCTCTGGATTTCAAGATTATAAATGGTTATACCTAAAAAATAGTGTTTTAATGGTTCGTTTCAGCCATTTCCCAAATGTCCGCTATCATAGAAGTTTCTGCTTGGACACAAATGGAGTGGAGCACATGCAGGTATAATCCTTACAGCTATTCCGGAGCTTACTTTAAACGCTATAACCAAATGGCATAGCATGTGAAACTGCCACTGTTTCAGGACCAAACAGTTCTCTTTTAGATGGCATACAAATGCTACCTCGATGACTTTTTGAGGTTATCGTTCCATGTCAATCATTATGTAACTACTGTTTCATTCGTCCTAGGGTGCCTTCTTCGGAACAGCATCTTTTTCGCTAAAACAATATCATTGTGCGTGTGCCAACCTGAAACAAATAATTTTATATAGAATTTTCCGAGCTTTGTTTTTTGACCATTGTGAATATTAGTAGTGTTTAATAATATGAATGGGCAAGACCTTCTATCGTTATTATTTTTACATCGAAGTGATACGTTTGATATCAGTGACAGAAATTAATCCTTTATAAGAAACAGGGTTATCAACTTGTGTTATTTTATTGTTTTCTCTGACTGATCTGATACCAACCTAGCAAACCACGCATTAGTTCAGATTGTGCTAATTTGATTTTAATGCTAAAATTTACATCATAAATAAGTTTACAATTGCAAGAGTTGGAAACTTTTAACAGAGATACCAAAGTTTTATTAATTGCAATTTTTTGAAGACATCACTGCTTGTAACATTTTTTGAAGTGACTTTCATTGAAAAAGAAAATACTTCACATTTCAATCATTATACTTTACAAACTACTTCATTCTTTTATTTTACATTTCCGAAATCATAAATAGAGACATGGTAACTTCATTTAACAATAGAACACAAACTATTTTAAAGGTAGATCAAGATAACGAGGGTTTACTACATAAGTCTAATCTAGAAGAAGTAGAGGAATCTATTAAATTAATAGAAGATTTCAAATATTATTTAACTACAGGCCCAGCAAATTGGCAGGAAAATCAAATCATTAGGAGATATCATTTGAACAATGAATTGGGTTTTGTTTCCTGTGTTTTTTGGAATAATCTATATTATATGACAGGGACTGATATAGTCAAATGTTGTTTATATCGAATGGAGAAATTCGGTAGAATTATTGTTCAGAAGAAGAAGTTTGAAGAAGGTATATTCTCTGATTTGAGAAATTTGAAAATTGGTACAGACGCAACTTTAGAGCAACCAAAATCTGAATTTCTTCAATTTTTATTGAAAAATTCATGCTTAAAGACACAAAAGAAACAAAAGGTTTTCTTTTGGTTTAGTATACCACATGATAAACTTCTTTATGACGCTATGGAGAGAGACTTAAAAAGAGAATCATCTGGACAAGAGCCTACGACGAAAGCTGTCGACGAACCGGCTGTTTCTTTCAAATTTATTAGTAATACTAATAAGTCATTTTCTCAACAAATTTTAGGCCATATAGAAATATTTAAAGACCAATTTGAGAAACCCAAGGCCAGCGTATCAGATATTCCTCCTGGGCATTCATCTTCACGACTACAGACTGGAATTCACGTTAAGAAGGAACAGGAGGCTGAGAGTCACGATTTAGTTGGTGGAGATTCACAAGATATTTCATGTCATGGAAATAATCAGCCAGTAGGTGGACAGGAAGAATTGGAAACTACTACAGAACAAACCGTAGTACCTACTTTAACAACAAAAAATGAATCATTGGACAATCCTCAAATAGTCAACACCGATGTAGATTCAGTAATAAATAATGTTCAGAATTCAGAGACGACAGATATTGAGATCCCCTCTGAATTTTTAAATTTTGATATAGAATACCCTAGAGGGTATGATAGTACCAAGGATGTTAGTAAGAAGGATGATTCTCACGCATTAGATAGGGCTGTTTATAGAGATGGACAAGACTATTTTAATATGTACTCTATGACTTCGCCATACGGGACCAAAGCTCGAGGATCTATGGCAAACAACACATCGAAAGCCAATGATAATGAGAGGCGAGATAATAAGAGTTTACGCGATATAAAACAAGAAGTGGATCCTACGTTGAATAACCCGTATAATAACAATGAAATGATGACATCTCAGGTTCTTTATACACAACCTAAGTCTCAAACCCCTCGTTATAATATGATGCAACCGCCTGTGTCAGCATTTAGCCCCTTTGCTCCAGATATCATTGCACAGTCATTGGAGCAGCCGTTATTTGGGTTTGAGGGTTTATATTCACCACAACTTTCTTATGGAAGAGATGCCTCAAAGCGCTCTGATGGTGTCCCTTCAAATTCGATGATACAACCCCAAATTCTACAGCGACCTCCTAGTGCAGCATTGCCAAATTCTTTTACGCCAGGGTTCAAGAATATGGCACCATACCCATGGGTTCAATCACCATTCTTACCTTTAGGTGCTGTAATGGCTGGTAGCCCTTTTTTCTCCCAACGAACACCCACATTCATGACTAATAAACCACGTCAGTCGTTTTCTACAAAAGTTATGCAACCTAAAGATACATCAAAAGTACGTAAAATTTCACACACAGGACCTGAAATTGCCATCTCGAAATCAAAAGCTGCATTACAAAATAAGATCAAGGAAAACGCTAAACAATTACAAGCCCAGATCCAAAAGAACCAAAGTAACACTGAAGAACTCAAAGGTTGATTGCTATCTGTATACCAAATTTAGACGGTATATTATATAAAAATATATAATATGGTTTGGGAGATTTAAAACGGACAATAAACATTTAATCTAAAAATATGTAAATATATTCTTTATACCATAATAATATAGAAATGGTGGTTCTATATAATGAACAAGCGATTCTGGGGCAATAGATGTATTGTTTATTCGTTTGTTTCTATCTCGTTTTGTTGGATATATTGTTGTAGAGACAGTTGTCTGATTTGATTCATCATATCCTCATCTTGAAGCATTGCTGCCTGTGATATAGCAAGATCCTTATCGTTAATAAAACTTTTGACATTTTCCAAGACCTCAAGAGATTCCTTAGATGTTGGTTGTGGAGGTAAAACATCAAATTCGTATACCTCATAGTCGGACCAAATATATGCAGGGATGCCTGCCATAATCGAAGATTCCTCAGATAGAATTGCAAATCTCAAGAGATTGATTGGAATATCATTAATGAAAAACACATTTTCTTGTACGTCTTCTTCCTTTTCAGCAACAAATTTTAGGTCTGAAAGAGTTTTATCCTCCTTATACTCATTTAAAATGATAAGAATTTCTTGGTGCAGGAAATTAATATCTTTAGGGTCTTTCCAGATAGCACCAAATCGAGCCATGTAAGCTTTAGCTTCTAATAATTCACTATCATAATTGTGGATAGTAAATATATCAGAAAATGAAGGATCTCCAACTAATTTTTCAACGAATAAAGTTGCCAAGGCAGGTCCGTGGTAGTAGAAACACTTTTTTAATTCTTTTCTGGCTTTTTCATATTCATCTATCTTGATGTAACTGTACACAGTTGCTAAAGAGATACCGAAGGTGTACCACTGTCTATAACTATTAATCAACGGGGATTTAGACACTTCTATAATATATTGGTAATCGTTGTTTAGCAACAAATAATGATCCATGAAATATCTACAGCCTAATGGATCTTCAGTAGGACTTAATGACCACAAAACTTTACACCATTCAGCAGCAGTAGTTATGGCACCTCTTTGGGCCAGTGCCAATATATACCTAAATATAGCAAGATAGAATTGCCTATTGAAAAAATAGATGTATGGGAGATTACAAGATAATACATCGAAATTTATGCAGGCCTTCAATGCACGGTCAAACACGAATAATGCTCTTTGTAATAATCCATTGGTATTTGACCTATCACCTTGTCTAATTGTTATTAGCGCCACTTGTAATAAAGATGGTATATGATAAGGAAATTTTGAGGAAATTAGGTTGATCAAAGCTTCATGATCTGGATGGACAATTACACTTAAATAAAATTCAGTCATTGCTTTCCTACTCAAATCAATATCCAATGGTTCAAAACGATAAAAAGATACATATTTCTTCCATCTTTTCAAATCATCTTCTATTACATCTTTCCAGTCGGTAGGTCTCTGCCATAATTGCCAATCTATTAAGTTATTCATATCCAGTGATTTCATAACTAATTCCCCCCTTGGTGTTGGAATCCAATCTTCTCTAACTTTGGTAAATTTTAGAGTATGTATGCTACCACCTGGTCCATTTGGTACAGTTCTGTGGTTTTTACCACCCCAATTTCTTACTAAACGCTTCATTCGTTGGATTTGTTTTAATTGTTGTGGAGAGATCGAAGTCGATGTAACAGAGTCTATGTCTTCAAGCGATTCTGGGGATATGTCATCAAATAGCAATTTGAATTCTGAATGAGGGTCTAATTTTTTGATATCTTGATTGAAGAATCTGGTAGCATACTTTAGATATTTAACAGGGAATTTCTCAAAAGTAGTATCATTTCTTAGATCACCTTTAATTCGTTCTTCGATATTGATATTGTAAACATCATTGTTGTCTTCGTTATCTGAGGCGGTCATATAATCTTCATCGCTATCAAGATCAAGATTTCCCTTTTGGAAATCACTCAATTTTTTGACATCTTTCTTTTTATATTCTTGTAATAATATATCAAGCTCTCTGTCATCCTCACTGTCATGGCTTACCTCAATATCACTTTGATCTTTTGCTTTCTTATTTTGTTTATTCTTTTTCTTTTGTTTTTTCTTTTTAGATTTAGTCAATAATATAGGTGTTCTGATGATAGGAATGTCAGATTCACTAGATTCATCATGTTCAGAATCAAGCTTAGAGTCTGATTGCACATCATTCATTAATGCAAATACATTAACGTTTTTAGGAGGTGTCTTGGTTGTCTTTCTAGGTTCAATACTTGCTTCCTTCGACCCTAGAATTGATGCTAGTAAATCTTCATCATTTTGTAACTTTCTTAATGCTCTTGAACTCATAATTCAAAGTAATTACCTTATCTAATTTCTCAGTTCTGCTGGTGGTTGCTAAAGTTGCTGTATCACATTCAAGAAAGTGTAATTATTCATATATTGAACATCAGAAAATTATTCTAATATCTATAATTTTCCAAATTTTATTCAGTTTATTCAGTTTACTCTCCATTAGCGGCGTAGGCCCAAGAACTGGAAAATTTTAAAGAGCGTTATTTCAAATAATGAAAATTCTGGGAAGCTCATCTCATCGCAAGTTGTTATTACAGATGAATAATTTATTTTAGTTTATTAGGAATACACATCTTTGAGAATATTATCAAAAGGGTTCGATTGTAATTGTTATACATTTGTGCATATATATTCAAGATTTGGTACACTTTCCTGGGAGTTTTGCAGTAGAAGAATATCCTTTTTAATTACTTTCTCAAGCACATATAATATTTTAAGATGGGTAAATCCAAGAAACAGAAACAAAAGAAGAAGGATTTCTTGAAGAGGAAGTTAAAAGTTGGTAAGAAGGCAGATCATCCAAGCAATCAAACCGATACTTCGTTTGTAGCAAAGACAATTTCATTAAAGAACCAACATCTAGAACATGAGACCGATCTATCTAAGAGATTAACTCTTCTAAGACATCATAATATTACTGTTAGAAAAGAAACGTTACAAGATTATCAAAAACATCTTCCAGAGATAATAAAAACACAACTAATGACACCATTGTTAACTCATGCTATTCCATTAATATGTGATGACTCGTTGGCTGTCCGTGATTCATTGATTGATTTGCTTGATGAAGTAGGAAAATTAGATGTCCATGTGTTGGTCCTACATTGTAATATTGTTGTATTATATATTAATATGGCTATGACACATATTATGCCTCGTATTCAGATGGATTCCACAAGGTTTTTGGGTTGTCTATTAAAATATTGTAGTGATGAAGTGGTAAGACAAGCATGGCTTAAATTATTGAACGGTGTGATAGCTGTTCTTGGTTGGGGTATGTTTGGGAATAACCAAGCATCAGGAGCATTGCAGACTAAAAAACGTGATAGTAAATATACAAAAGTACATCTGGATGTGTTGACAGAATTGATTAGAGTTGGTTGTTCTGATGCAAAATCGAGAGCCGCCGCTGATGATACGAACAACAACGAGGAGGAGGATAACTTAGAAAATTATGTTGAAGATAATAACAATATATCTGAACCGTTCATGTTGGCCGAATATCCACAACCGTACGAGTACTTGAAGTTATTTGCAAGGACACTGAAAAATAAGAAAAACATCCAAACGGATGAATTGGCAGTGAATTCGTCTATGGCAAACCAGGATATTGACAGTCGTCGTGCCATCTTCAAGGAACAATTCCTGAAAAAAGTTGATAAACAAGTAGATGCAATCATCAAGGACGGGGGAGAATGTGGGAAGAGTGCAAATAACCTAAAACAACTCTTAGATGAGCTGTTTGTATAAAACTAGTATGTAGAATAAGAAGTACTAAATAAAATTAAATAAAATAATCCACCCCCTAGAGGGTTCGAACCTCAGAATTCGTCCCAAAAAGGGGAAAATTGCGAAACGAAAATTTTGTTGGTGGCGAAAATGGAAAATATTCAAAAAAATTTTCGTTTACTGTCCTTTTTCAAAGGGCCGTGTTTGTCAACAAAGTAAATTATCGTCATTCTCTTTTGACCTAATTAGAGGGACATTTTAGAATAAACAAGATATATTGGCCCCAACGTATAGGTAAATAGCACATATAGACCTTAAAAATAGATATATTGGATTGTCCAGCTCAAGAGTATTATATTGATACCATTTTTAATTGATTTAAAAGGCGGAACAACCGCTTAATTTTCATGTATATATAATTGCATTTTTATTACACACCATGACTACGGAAAAAAACAAGGTAGATAATGACAAGAAATTAAGCAACGATGATAAGTTCATTAAGTTGGTCGACCTAAAGTATAAATTTGATATATTGGCTAACGAGTTGTTTTATTTAAAGGATTATATATCGCTGATTGAGTTTGATCCTCGCCAAAGGAACGACACAGATAGTTATGATAGGTTCTTGGAGAGGGAAAATATTAGGATTATTGAAGGGGATATTGGTACATCTGCTACAAGAGGAAATAGAGGTAGCAATAGAAGGTCACATCGACATCAATTACGGGCAGCTTCCGTGACACCGTCGGGCTCATCGGAAAGATCTATTAAAAGTTCTCATGGTTTGGATGATATTGATATTTTAGTTCAACAAAAATTTAAATCTTTACAAAGTGATGATGATACAGGAGAACAGTTAGTGAAAGTAGAACCCAAAGCTGCGGTAAATACTATAAGAAATTCATCAAGGGCTACTAAAGGAATCTCTAACGGTTTAGCAGTGAAAGAAGAACCAAAGAAATTATTAATGAAAAAGGTATCTATTAAGGAAGACCATAAAACTTCAGATCTAAAGAGAAAAAGATTAGCATTTAAAAAAGAACCTACTGTAAGGAACAATTTTAAAACAAATGGAAACGAGACGAAGATGGAGGATTTAAGCCCATTACATGAAATTGATGACAACGACAGCGATGAATATTATTTTACAACATCTTCTGAAGAAGATAACGAATTAGTCTCTGAGAAACCATTAACTAAGAAACCACATGTTGTTGTAACTTTGTCTAAACCAAAACAAACAATTACGAACCCATCACAAGTTGTGGTCCCAAAATTTGAAGGATTGAAAGATTTTATGGATTCATTTAAAACATTAGACGAAGATATGACTCTAAAAGAATATAATGATTTTATCGATGAACAAAGAAAACTAGTTAAAGATATACGAAAGGGTTTGGATGATGGATTATTGGTATATGATATTGAATCTCAAACATTCCAACCTGTGGGAAACAAAAAGTTTAGGATAACTTCATCTCATAAACCAGAGCCTATTTCTTACATATACAAAGAACACAATAAGCATGTTTATCACGACTATCTAATTAATCAAGGTATATTTATGAGTAAATTGTTTCAGAATTCAAAAAAAGCTAGGATTGCCAGAGCTAAAAAAGTGTCACAGATGATTGAACAGCATTTTAAACATATTGCGGGTGCTGAGGAGAGAAAATTAAGAGAGGAAGAAAAACGTAAAAAAAGTATAGTTAGAACCATGACACAATCCTTGAGAAAAAGGTGGACCTTGGCTGAGAGAGCTTATAGGGTATTAAGGAAGGATGAGGAGGAACAATTAAAAAGAATTCAAGGAAAGAAACACTTATCTAAGATTTTGGAGAGAAGTACGCAATTATTAGGAGCCCAGTTAAATCAAGGGCAGGACAGCGAGAATGTAGGTTCAGACAATAGTGGAAGCACTTCAGATGCTTCTGATTTAAGCATAAATTCGCGTGATAGTGACGATAATTTATCATCGTCCGGTGAAGAGGACAATGAGAATGAAGTAGATATTACGAAGAATGACATTTCAAGGACTCCACTCCCTAATTCTGATGATAATGCATTAACGGTTGAAGAGCTTAGAAGCCGATATGAAAGTATTGATAATGATGACAAGGCAGATGATACTACGGACTATTCAGTAAAAGATGAAGAGAACAATAGTGGAAACGATAGTGGAAATGATTCTAACGCCGAAAATTTAACTGTAGATCAAAAGACGGCAGGTCTAGAATATTTGTTTACAAAGAATTACAGCGATAATAACGAAGAAAATGAGTCTTCGGAGGAAAGTGGTGATTACGAGATGAGTGAGGACGCTGAATCTCTGAGCCTCTCCGATAGTGATGAAGGATCAAACATTGAATCAGACATTGAATTAGAAACAAGTGTTAAAGTAGATGAGGAAATAAATATGATTGAGCGTCACCCTGAGCAGTTAAGTGTAGTAGATGTTCCAGTACCTCCTTTGTTAAGGGGTACATTAAGAATTTATCAGAAACAAGGTCTTAATTGGCTAGCTTCGCTTTATAACAATAATACGAACGGTATTTTAGCAGACGAAATGGGACTTGGTAAAACTATTCAAACGATATCTTTACTTGCATATCTAGCATGTGAGAAAGAAAATTGGGGACCTCATTTGATTGTTGTACCCACATCTGTTTTATTGAATTGGGAAATGGAATTTAAAAGGTTTGCACCTGGTTTAAAGGTTTTGACTTACTATGGTACTCCTCAACAAAGAAAAGAAAAAAGAAAGGGATGGAATAAACCAGACGCATTTCATGTCTGTATAGTTTCTTATCAATTAGTTGTACAAGATCAACATTCATTCAAGAGGAAAAGATGGGAGTATATGATATTAGATGAGGCCCATAATATTAAGAATTTCCGTTCAACAAGATGGCAAGCGTTGTTAAATTTTAACACAAAAAGAAGGTTATTGCTTACTGGTACACCATTGCAAAATAATTTAGCTGAATTGTGGTCTCTATTATATTTTTTGATGCCCCAAACTGTGATTGATGGTAAAAAGGTATCAGGCTTCGCTGATTTGGAGGTATTCCAGCAATGGTTTGGACACCCTGTAGATAAAATTATAGAAACAAGTGGTGGGGTTCAAGATGAAGAAACAAAGAAAACTGTTACTAAATTACATCAAGTTTTACGTCCTTATCTTCTAAGAAGATTAAAAGCAGATGTTGAAAAGCAAATGCCAGGGAAATATGAACATATTGTTTATTGTAGGCTATCAAAGAGACAAAGGTATTTATATGATGACTTTATGGCCAGATCTAAAACGAAAGAAACCTTGACTAGTGGTAATTTCATGTCCATCGTTAACTGTTTGATGCAACTAAGGAAGGTGTGTAATCATCCTGACTTATTTGAAGTCAGACCGATTTTGACATCTTTTGAAAGCGATAGTTCTGTTATGAACGATTTTAGCATGATTAATAAGAAAGTTATGAAGATGATTAAAATGGACGAGTTTAATAAGAAAATAAACTTTGAGACCCTCGGTTTGGAATTTTCAGAGAATGATAAGAATTTATCTTCTCATTTATCCAACGAGATATCAAAGTTGAATTGTGGGTCAAGATTTAAGAAAAGTGCAGAGTTTTTGGCAAATCGTATAACAAAGAAGACTATATCAAAAGATACTAATTCATATCAAAATGCTAAAAACTTTTTCCTTAATTTCGGAGAGCAAAAAGTGCAAAGAAATATTGATCTCCTCAATTTTCAAGATTATATAAATGAATTGAGGTGCAATAAACGTCCTGTTTATGGTCAGAATCTGATTGATTTACTAACTATTTCAGATAAGTTAAAAAACGAAATTGTGCAGCCTTTTATTAAACCACTACAGACCAGATTTACTAGCGATAAGAATATTATCGATAATTTTGCAGTTTTGACACCTAAGGCTGTTGCGCTTGATAACCGTGCATTGACAGTTGGTTTGAACGATGACAGTATAATAGACATGCCAACAAAAAGTAATATGATTGAAAATTTTCACAATATTAACAATCCATTCCATCATCTGCAAACAAAACTGACAATTGCATTCCCCGATAAATCTCTCCTACAATATGATTGTGGTAAACTCCAAAAATTGGCGATTCTGTTACAGGACTTGAAGGATAATGGTCATAGAGCATTGATTTTCACTCAAATGACAAAAGTGTTGGACATCCTTGAACAATTTTTAAATTATCATGGTTATCTGTATATGAGGTTAGATGGTGCAACTAAAGTTGAAGATCGTCAAATTTTAACTGAAAGATTTAATAGTGATGATAAAGTGACTGTTTTTATTCTATCGAGTAGATCAGGTGGTTTAGGTATTAATCTAACAGGTGCCGACACAGTTATTTTCTATGATTCTGACTGGAATCCGGCAATGGATAAGCAATGTCAAGATCGTTGTCATCGTATTGGTCAGACTAGAGATGTCCATATTTATAGATTTGTTAGTGAACACACCATCGAAAGCAATATTCTTAAAAAAGCAAATCAAAAACGTCAATTAGATAATGTGGTCATTCAAGAAGGTGATTTCACTACTGATTATTTTGGGAAGTTGTCTATCACCGACTTACTTGGTGCAGAGACTGCCGTTAATGCAAATCTGAACAATCGGCCACTATTCAAAAATGGAGAAGACATGTCGAAGAATCCACGTGACTTAGAAAAGATGCTTGCACAAGCAGAAGATGCGGATGATGTAAAAGCTGCCAATTTGGCAATGAAGGAAGTAGAAGTTGATGATGAGGATTTTACTGAAAATCTTGATGCGGAACATGATATTAAAGACGAAGAGGATGAATATGAAGGAACTCATCATGTTGAGGAATATATGATCCGTATGATAGCTAATGGTTACTACTATTAACTTTAATGAATGAATGAATAAATTAAGTTTTTTATCTGTATAAATTTTAAATAAGGACTGTTTATTTTTATTATATTGTACTATTATTCAATTTTCGCGTAGATCGTAGATGTTTTTTTTATTCGTTCGAAGCATGAAGACTTCTTTTTTTTAAAAAAAGACTTGCAGCTTACAAAACTATAAAATATTATTTTAAATTATTAGGAAACAAAGAATTGTTAAAAACTGTACAGGGTCGAGGATCCGTTAATAAAGTGAAGAATAGTATCACCAGTTTTCCAAACGATGAGAATTACAAACAAAAGTCTATTACACTGTAATCTCCCCAAATTATCGTCTCTATCAAGTATTCGAGATATTGTGCTGAATAGTAAAAAAAACGTATCAAATGTGGAATTGGATATAGTTGATAAAAGCACTGCTCAAAATCTACTCAAAGATGTAGATAAAATGAAAAATAAGAAGCTATTGGTTTCCAAAAAGAGAAAGCTGGAAATAAAACCTCCATGGATCGATTTCAACGCTAAGTACAATATCAATTATGATTCTCCGAAACGTGCTCAATTTCAGAAAACGAGTGAGTTCTTCAATAATGCTAAAGTTGAATTTGAATGGGGCGTTGCCTCCTTCAAATCAATTCCTAGCGAAATTGTAAAAACTAATTTTAAAGAGAGAGAAATTAATGACCATATACCAATTAACTCAACAAAGAGGTTTCCCGGTAAAACCAAAATACCATTTAAACTAATCAATGGACTCCCAGAGATAACATTTTTAGGTAGATCGAATGCGGGGAAGTCAAGTATATTAAATAATTTAGTAACTCAGTTGGGTAGACAGAGGTTAACTGAGGAGGCTAGGATGTCTAGTCGACCTGGTTTTACGAAAACATTAAATTGTTTTAATATTGGTAATAAATTTAGATTAGTTGATACACCTGGGTATGGTTTTGGTAGTAGAATTAATCAAGGAGGGTTAACAATGGAATATATTGAAAACCGAGAAGAGTTGGTGAGGTGTTACGTACTGATACCTGGTGATCAAGGTTTCACCAACCTCGATATGCAAATAATTCATTATCTACGAGATATTGGTAAACCGTTTGAAATAATATTCACAAAAATGGACAAGGTTAAGAATCCAGAAACATTACAGAAGGAAATAGATCGATCTGGCATTATGGATTTCCCATCTCTTCCTAAACTTCTGTTCACAAATTCTTCCATTTCCAAGAGTTGTCCCAAGCGATATGGGATCTCAGATCTAAGATACACCATTTTGGAATGCTGTAATCTATTGTCTAATTAATATATGTATAAGGAAACTTTTAATAAGATGGATGGAGAAAAGAACGATAAGGTAGTTCTGGTGACATAGAAGTCATTGTGTAAATGTAAATATATCTATTCACACTACGTAAAAAATGATTTTGTTCTGGAAATTAGAAGGATCAAAGCGTAATGAACTTGGCAAAAAAAAAGCCAATAATAATAGTCGTGATAATACAAATGAAGAGCAGGGCAAGTTAAAAGGGATTCGCAACGTGAATTTAGAAAGAAGTCTTTCTACTGTTATTGTCATATTAAGATAACAAGTTAGACGTATTCTAATAGTACATATATTATCATTTGTATTGATCTACACAATTTAGATTGTATATTACTTGTACTATCTGATACATTTAAAAAAATAACAGTAATGTTGCAATTAAGTAGGAATCTCCGAGCTTTCAATGGAACGGCACAGGGGATTGCCAATATTGCTTTTAGCAGACTATTGTCTACCACTAAACCGACTCAAGGGACTAAAGCTATTAAATTCTTGAAAGCACAAAAAAGAAGACAAAGAAATGAAGTCAAACAAGCTAACCTAAAAAGCTCATCTGACATGGTTGACCCTGTGTTTGGTCATAAAGATACACCTTTTATTGTCCGTATTCAAGCAGAACTTAAGGAACCTAATGTGTTGTCACATGGGTATGAAGGGAAAGAAGTTGATAAATTTTTGGCTGCTGTAGATGCCACTGAACGTGAACAAGCAGAACTTTCTGGGTTAAACATGGAACTTTTTGAAACAACTGATGCCAAAGTTGTAGAAACTAGAAAGGAGGTCCTTTTAAGAATTTTGAATATGAGAAACGCAAATAATAAAGAATCTATGAAGATGGCTTTACGACTAGCTCGTGAAGAATTTCAACGATTCCCAGGTGACACAGGTTCTAGTGAAGTACAAGCAGCTTGTATGACCGTTAAAATATTTAATATGGCACACCACATACAAGAACACAAAAAGGATTTTGCTAATACAAGATTGCTAAGAATTCTTGTCCAAAAGAGACAAAATATGTTACAATATCTAAAGAGAGATAAACCTGAAAAATATTATTGGGCCATTGAAAAGTTAGGTCTAACTGATGCAGCTATAACAGAGGAATTCAATATGGACAGACGTTATATGCAAGATTACAAATTCTTTGGTGATAAGATATTGATTAAGGATTCCAAGAAAACAATCGATGCCCAACGTAAAAACTTGAGAATACAGAAGATGGTTGAAAATTCTGAATAAATAACATTATTATTTAAAGAACATAAATAGCTTGTAAATATAAATAGGGTCTTTTCTCTATCTATTATAATATAAATTAGAATATTCATAATTGTAATTGATTATAATTATTATAAAAAAATTAATTTGTCAATGATGTGTCAATGTGTTAATGCATTTTTGGTATATTTCTATATGTATATAAATTATTTTTTACTTTGATTGTTTTCTTTTAGGTTAAGAAATGAACAGGGTATGCAGTTATACAATCCCTAACAAGGCAGTATGTTCGGTAGCTCTGTGAGAAGCTTCTTCAGAAGAGGAACTATGTTCATCCCCTTCATCATCACTAGAGTCTGAAAAGTATTCTTCCTCTTCCTCATCTCTATCTTGCTCTCTTAATTTTTCAGCATAGCTTAAGATACGATCCCAATTTGGTTGCAAGACAAAATACGATTCAATTGAACCGACAACTAGCATAGCACACCCAATACCTATCCATAACCCGTATAGTTTCCAGTCAAACACCCAACTTAATATCATAGCTAATGGGATACCAAAACAGTAGTAACCGACCAAATTAACGATACTACCAACAGATTGCATACCTTGACCTCTCAGACAAGAACCAGCTACTGCATTTAAAGAGTCGAAATTTTGTATGAAACCAACCACAGGTAAAATACCAGATATTAGACCCTTAACTTTTTCATCTCTTGAGAAGATACCCGCAACAAAGTTACGACTCAAAACTAAAACTGTACAATTAGTTATACCAGCAATAAATGAGAATGATAGACCTACTTTAGCTGAGATATGAGCAAAATCGATTCTTTTAGCACCAATGAAATTTGCAATTCTTGTTGAAGTTGAGATACCAATTGCAAAAGGAACCATGTATATTAAAGCAGCAACCGAAGAAACAGCAGATTGAGCAGCTAAATATTCTGTACCAAAATAGGCACTAAATAAAGTTAAACATTCGTAAGATATTTCTTCTGCTTCTAGCATAATAACACCTGAGAATGCTAAATGCATTAGATCTCTCCAATGCGTAAAAGCTTTTCTAGAAAAACCACCCCAACATTTCTTACCTTCGATAAAGATGACATACATCAATAATAAGAAAAACATCAACCAGAAATTGATAACCACTGCAACTGCGGACCCGATAAATCCAATACCGATATATTTGTTCCAAACAAGAGTCCAACTCATAACAATATTTAATGGAGCACAAATTAATAAAACATATATACCTGCATCAAAGATACCTTGAGCTTGTAAGAATCTTTTCAGATTTTCAAAGAAAATATAAGCTGGAGCACCGAAGATCAACACTTTTAAGAATTGTGCTGTTAAATGAACCAACTCTTTCTCTGGTACGACTAACATTAACAGAGGTTCCGAGTAATACCAGAATAGTGCGAAAGGGATATAAATAACCAATGAAAAAGCAACACAACGTTGAAGATGGACACCAACACTGTAATATCTACCTGCACCATACGCTTGAGGACATAAAGTGTCTAAACTTGTTGCAATACCTTCAAAGAAACCCAATGTAATGTTGGAAGTCATAGAAGCCAAGGAAACAGCTGCCAGTTCATTTTTACCTAAATAACCAACAGTTAGAGAACATACTAATGGGAAAATATCTTCCAACAAGAATGTAAACATTAATGGGAGAGAATACGAGGCTAAAACTTTAGCTTCAGATCTATAAGTCACATGCTCGTGTGCAAGAACCCTCAGGGATTCCTCGTCTAAGGATTCCTGATATATATGTGGTATAGACCCTCTACTTGTAACAGACATAAGGGACTGTCTTCGAGGACCTTGAGAACCTTCTCTTAGAGCTTCTTTGTATAATTTTCTTCTTGTTTGAACACGATTCATGAAAGAACCGTAGTCTACATCACCCTCAGTAGCACTACTATCGGGTGCAATCTCCTCTTCGGATGTTGGACGGTGTGCAGATGAATATCGGCGGTCATGTTCTTGTAAAATCCAATCCACATCTGGATTAGCCTCCACTTCGGAGTTTTCTGAAGTCATAGACGGAAGCGAAGTGGTTCTACTAATTTCATCACCACTCCTTGCATCATGTGGTCGGTTCTCGATGTCATCGTAATAATCATTGTAATCTTCTACATTATTTAATAAATCTCGTTCATCTATATCGGGGATAGGTTCATGTACACTACTACCAAAATCATCAACCAAAGACCTAAAACTTCGCTGACCAGTACTTCTCTTTCTATTTCTCTTCCGTTTCTGACCTTTACTCCTAAATTTTCTAACTAGAGGATTCTTGTTATCGGGAGGAAGATAGCCCAACGATATTCTTCTATGCGTATTACCAATACCCATCCCAGACGTTAATAAACTGGGTTTCACTTCGGACAAAGTCTTCGAAAAAATTCCAGACATTGTAAAACAAATGAGATAAATTCTATTGATAATAACTTAATATTATATTTAATGTAATCAGTTCTTATTTATAAACTTTAAAAACCACCTTCTCAATTTATTAATTTAGCAGAAAAAAAACTTTCAAGGGGGGGTGGGGGTCAATTGTCTATAGGATTAGTTGCAATCAGAAAAACAAATTAAAAAAACGTTAACTTGCAATCAGGTATACCCTTACTCTTGCGATACTTCAATGAAAGTGAAAAAAATAGTCGTTCTAAGTCGTATGTTTCAACTTTCTCTTCCCTTTTCTTTTAAACCATTGTTTAAAAAAAAATGGCAACCCACAAATTATTATTATTACTATTATTTTCATTATTACTTAAGAATTAGCGAAACTTCGCCCTTTCATTCTCATCTCCTCCTATACCGGAAAAAATCATAAGGAACAATTAAAATACAGAAAGTGGTCTGTCTGTCTTGAATCCTTCCGTTCTACGGTATTTTCTGTACTGATTATGAAATGAAATGAAGTGATCAACACATGGTGCAGCATTAATGCTTTTCTTGACTTGAGATAGAAGATGAAAACAACAATAAACTAGTGGTATTGCGTGAGTTTGCTAGCTGTATTCCAGTGGATAACGAATATTGTTGAGAAGAAGCAGTATATAACAAGTGGTTTTATTCATGTGCGAGTCCTTTGTTACTAGTTGAGAATGCATATTATTATCTGGTTGGGTCATCTGATACGTTTGTCTGTGTTGGGGATAATTTATTAATATAGTCGAACCGTTCAGAATGTCTGCTCTATTCTGCTCCCAACAGTGCAAGACCCTGGATAGAGTGGGACAAAGTGGTAATCGTTATTCTTCTAAGAATATGTCAATCTACCATAAATTAAAAAATTAAAAGGTTGATTGAGATAACCGGTTCTCGGATTTAATGGGAAGAAGGAAAAAAATTAGCAGTTTGTTTTCTCTTCATTGGTTAACCAAGATGAACAATGTGAGAACTGAACTATCTATCAGTTAAGATTTTTTATAATGATCTTAGTAAATGTACAAAACAGTTTCGAAAATAATATCTATGTATATATTGATATATGTATGTGTATGGAATGAAGTTGATGCAAATAAAATCTTGGTACGTTGTTGTTTTTTTAGAAAACGTCCGGTAGTTTCTCGATGGTGTAGGCATGACCACCGACACTCATTAATGGGATACCTGGAATTTTTCTTATTCTTTGCTTAAGACCGACATCATTGGTGGCCACAATGAAACATTTATGTTGTAATACTCTATTCACTATACAGTCATCTGCATATGTACCTTTATGTGTACAACTCAGTCTTTTGATTCTTGGATCTCTTGCGAGCTTTAATGCAATACGGAATTTCGGACCTAATTTTTCTAATTCTGCCATTACACAGTCAGTTATTAATGGGTTACATTTAGCTAATAAACAATCCATCATACCTCTTACTATATCAATCTTCTTTTGAATAGAAAAATTTATAAAATTTGTATCAATAAGGACTTGGTAAGGTGGTTTGATAGCTTCATTGTATTGGAAAAATAATGCACTAGAGACTTGAGGGATACTCCTCGTTAGTTCAGGATCTGCTGTGGGTTTCTGTTTATCTTGATTAGCCTTTAATCTTTGATCCTTCTTAGTGTTCAACGTACGCTTCACGAGCGCAAACTTTCTGGTCTTCTTTGCTTTACCCATTTTCTTTTACTTATATCTTTTTGAACCGGTGCCTTTTTAGATGTTTGTTATAGTAAAGGAAATGTCTATAATATACTCTTCATTTATTAAATAGGATGAAATGAGATGAGATGAGCTAAAATTTTGTTATTGAAAAATTATTCATTTCGCAATGAAAATGAAAAATTTCGCGGGAAGAGCGACGCGAAACGTATTACATGATAATCATTCAGACATAATATAAATTAAATACACTAGTTTCAATACAAGACTAATATTTTTAACGTTATATGTGTATTACCTAAATTAATGTGAGAAGTAGCTATATCTTTCTAGAGGGTTACGTTATAGGTGTTGTAAGATTTGAATTGTTTTGACCCATCCAAGCATAAGGATATCAATATTTTCTCCACCATAAGGATATAAATTTTTTTTTATTGAGATCAAAAATCGAAGAGAATGAAAAAGACAATAACATGTAATACAATACCGCGAGAGTTGAATCGCATTTAGCCATTTCAATTATGGTTAATGGAGGCAAAAAATGGTAGAAATTCATCTTAAAAAAACGTCACAGACAGGATTCGAACCTGCGCAGGTAAAACCCAATGCCTAATTGCTGTTTCATTGAAATAGCAGGGCATCGCCTTAACCACTCGGCCACTGGGACATATTCAAACTTTTAAGAAAAATTATTTTAATTTTATTCTTCCAAATATTTTAACTTTTTGCCACGTCAGATTTATTGAAGACTCATTTGTTAAACAGAGTTGCTGTTGTTAAACTGCTCATCTTTTATGCATAGTAACGTTGGACTATGTAGCTCCAATAAACCCAATGTAGGGGGAACGAATACTACATTATGCAGTATATATCATGTGTTATTATATATACGACAGTGCAGCACACTCTAAATTCTACTTATATTAGCTACCTTCACCTTCAGTTAGGTAAAGCTAATGTTAGCCTTTTTAGTACTGCCGCTACATATTCAACAGCTCCAATAAACCCAATGTAGGGGGAACGAATACTACATTATGCATTATATATCACGTGGTATTATATATAACAGCAGTACAGTATACTCTAAAATTTTAATTATGTTAGCGACCTTCTCATTTTGAGAGCCTAAGCTAAGCATAGCCTTTTTAGTGCAACAGTTAGTTTTTTGTAATTCTCTAAGGATTATTAACGATTTTAGGTTTAAGATAGAACTATTTCATCTCTACTTGTGTCTGTCATATTTTTCTTGATGTGTAGAATATGGTATCTCCTGTTTTTTTAAAAACGAGAATTATTTTTGTGCAATATACGTGCTTACTATCATAAGAATATATTTTAGAAAGTTACATACTAAGTTGTTTTTATTAAGGACAAGTTCGATTTTATACTACAGTTTTCAATAAGAATTGTTAAGTACTCATTTAGTTGTAAGAAATATACGGTTAGACCAACATAAGTCGGATCATTCATATATTGAGCCAATTCTAAATTTTGGGTCAAAGACATCAATAATAGAGGTTTTCAACAATAATTAGAAAAGAAATATTTTGACCATATCATTCTCTTGAGAACACGTTTTTATTGTTCTTAATTTAGTGAGTTAATGATTAGAGCTACGATTGATAAAATCAAATAATTGGGCTTCGAAATAATTGTATATGGTATCAATACAGTCTTGCAAATAAGTAAATATTTTCTCTATTGTTTCAATTTAATTCTTCTTTTTATGTATTTTAATAAATTATTTAATGTAACCTATATATATATATTTCTTACTACGATATTATAGGAGTAATAAACGTACCTTACATTCTGTCAACTGGAGTTAGACCTAACAGGCGCATACCGTTGTTTAGAACATGTCTGGCAGCAGCATATAAAGCTAGACGAGCAGTAGCCAATTCTTCGGTTTGACCAGCAACCCATAATACATCGTAACAAGAGGAAACTTGATGTGTTAATTTAAACAGATATGTAACAACAGTTGTTGGCTCGTGAGTCTTAATGGCATTTCTCAAAACATCTGGGTATTGGGCTAGGATTCTGATTAGAAGAACAGCTGCCGGTTCAGTTAATAATGAGAAGTCAGCAGATAAACATTTCTCAGAGGTAATTTGAGAAGCATTTCTTTCAACAGATCTTAATCTGGAGTGAGCATATTGTAAGTATGGACCAGTGTCACCTTCGAAAGAAAGCATTCTTTCCCATTTAAATTCGTAGTTGTTGATACGTTTGGATTGCATATCTTGGATCATGACAGCGGAAATACCGACTAAATCAGCGACTTCATCAGGATTTTCGATTTGAGAATATTTAACCTCATTTTTCTTCATGACCTCATGCATTTTTTCCTTAGTTTCTTCTAAGATGTTATCCAAGAATACCACAGTACCCTTTCTTGTAGACATACCTTGGACCATACCGAAGTTGATATGTTGTAGAGTCTTTGCCCAGTCGAAACCCATTTGTTTTAGGATTTCAAAGAATTGGGCAGTGTGTAGGTCCTGTTGTGTAGCAATAACATATATCATCTTATCGAAGTGGTACTTCTCATAACGATCCATGGCGGCACCAACATCTCTAGTCAAATACAAAGTGGTACCATCAGACTTCTGAACAATAGTCTTACCAAGTTTCTTATTGAATTTGGTCAAATCGATTAAAACAGCACCCTTATCTTCATGAGTTAAACCCTTCTCGTTAAAGATTTCCAAAGCCTTCTTCATTGAGTCTCTTGAAACTTGAGATTCACCGGAGTAGACGTCGTACTTGATGTTCAATCTGGCATAAGTAGCAATGTACTTTTCGATAGATAGTTCTCTGAATCTCTTCCAAATCTTTAGGGCTTCTTCATCACCATCCTCCATCTTCTTGAAATATTCACGAGCCTTACCGTTGGTGGATTCTTCTAATGGCAGAGAGTCGCCTTCTTCTTCAATATCTTTGTTGATACGGACATAGACTTCAAACAGATGATGAATTGGATCTTTGGCCAACTTATTTTCGTCACCATATCTGTCGAAACCTACAGCTAACAGACCAAATTGTTTACCCCAGTCACCTAGGTAGTTCATTCTGATAACATCCCAACCAAGCTTTTCGTAAAGGTTGGAGATGAAACCACCGATAATAGTAGATCTTAAATGACCTGCGTGGAAAGGTTTTGCAATATTTGGAGAAGAAAATTCAACTATAATCTTTTTATTTTCAACCAATTTACAAGAACCGTATTCTTCTTTTCTTGTTAGGATATCTGGAACAACAATCTTGAATAAAAATTCTGGACTGAAGAAGAATTGTAAAAATGGACCATTGGCCTCAACTTTGCTTAGAAATTCACCACATGGGAATTTTTCGGCCCACTCGGCAGCTAAATCCTTTGGATTAGCACCTTTAATTCTCAATCTTGGAACAGGAATTAAAAGATCACCTCTCTCCATTGTGTTGGTCCATTCCAAAGCTGGGAAGATTAAACTTGTGTCGACACCAGAGATTTTATGTAGTTCTTCTGCAATGTAGTTTCTCATCAGATCAACTACATTAACATCTGGGTAAGAACCTTCCAGAGTGGCAGGAGCATTTATGGACAATTTTTGTAATTGCGAAGTAATATTGTCAGTAGACATGGTGTACCGAATTTAATGATAATATTCTATGTGTTTATGTTATGAGAATATATGTAAATCAATAGTAGATGCGTTAAAAGCAATCAATTGAGGACAGTAGGTTTATATGTATTGAAACTCCTTCTCATTACATTGTAACATTGGAATCAATCATCTTCCATTTTTCCATCGCAAACCTACAAGAAAATTTTTCATGGCCGCTGGTAGGAAAGCGAGCGAAGCAAATTAAAAAAAAATATAGCGAAAGATGTGTCATATAGATCAGCTTAAATAATGACGACAGCCAATGAAGAGCCTCTAACAACAGCAAGGACGGTAAATATTTTTGCCATATTATTGGGTAAACGGTTTGAGAAATTGCATAATAAAAAAATTTATCATATTGAATTTTATTTATTATAATTAATTTAAACGGAGTATATATGTTTATTATCATTAAAGAATCATAAGAGGTTTATAGAAAATATTTATAATATTGGATTCTAAAGGAGCTTTTTAATTATTATCCTACTATGGAAATGCGTGTAATTGAATTCTTGTTATTATTATAACATTCTCTTGTACCATGGTAGATCATCATGGGCTAAAGCACCAGCATCGTAGTCAGCGCCTCTTCTGGATGGAGGAACCCAGTCATTGGACTTCCATGGTAGGACACCTTCTAGCCACATTTGGTCGACTTCTTCTAAAGAAAGACCCTTGGTCTCTGGAATGAAGAAGAAAACGTAGAACCAGGCGAAACATAGACAACCCATGAAAACGTAACCATATGAGAAACCGATAGAACCAGTAATAAATGGAGTGAAGAAACCAATTAGAAAACCCCAGACCCAGTTACAACCTTGAGCTAAAGACATAGCCTTGGACTTCATTCTCAATGGGTAAGTTTCAGATGTAATAACGAAAGCCAATGGGGCCCATGAGGTGGCGAAACAGAATAAGTAGAAACAGGTGAAGCAAATCATACAGTCACCAGCACCCTTAGAGGAAGGACCGCTCTTACCGTCTGGATATAATCTTGTGACACCAACAGAAGCAAAAACAACAAAACAAGCAGTCATTGTTGCAGCACCCCACAATAGACATCTACGACGACCGAATCTTTCAACAATGAAAATACCAGCAAAGGTAGAAGCAAAGTTAACAATACCAATAACAATAGAAGTTTCGAAAGAATCTGCTAAACCAATAGCCTTGAAAACAGTGGTACCATAGTAGAAGAAATAGTTATCACCAGTCAATTGTTGTAGAGATTGAACCATACAACCCATGAATAGACGTTGGAAGATCTTGTTCTTGGTAGAGAACAATTCAGCCCATGTGGCTTCACCAGCCAACTTTTCGGCTTCTGCAGCAGCTTGCAAAGTAGCAAACTCGATTTCGACAGATGGATCGTCAATTGGAACTTTGTTTGAAATGGAGATAGAATGTTTGGCATCTTGTTCTCTTCCAACACTGACTAAGAAACGTGGAGATTCTGGAACGAAAGTCATACCACCAATCATAAATAGGGCCCAAGCGAAACCTAGACCTAGAGGAACTCTCCATTGGACAGTGTTAGAATAGTTCTTGGTACCGAAATTAGTACAGTAACCTAAGAAAATACCTAGAGTAATCATCAATTGGTAACAGGAAACCAGAGTAGCTCTCAAATGTTTTGGAGAAACTTCAGAAATCAGCATTGGGGATAAAACAGAAATACCACCAACACCTAGACCAGAGATAATTCTACCAATGAAGTATTGGTACCAAGCCTTTTGAGTAGCAATGGAAATAATTAAACCAACAATGTAAATGATGACAACAGTAATTAGACCGATTTTTCTACCGTAAATATCACCAAGTTTAGATAAGATAACACCACCAATGGCACACCCAATGTTGAAAATAGCAACAATTAAACCAGTTCTGACCTTGGATAGGTAACGGGTACCATCGTGATTTTTTTCACCAAGTCTGTTAACGAAATCAGTTTGGTTAACAAAACCAGAAATGGTACCAGTATCCCAACCGAAAACGAAACCACCGAAAGCAATCATAATACACATGATAGAAACGGTAACATAAGCAGAAGCGGGCTTAATTGGCATTTCATTTGCAGCCATATCAGCCAGATGATCTTCATCTAAATATTTGGAATCATCTCTTTCAGCTTTGTTGGATGGAGTTGTGATCATAGAATCGGAATTTGTGTCATTCACAGGCAGTGGTTGTTGAGATGTTTGAGGGTTTTCAACACCTTCAGACATATTGTATTCGCTTTAATTGATAGGTAATTTTTTTATTTTTCTTACTAGTATTGTTGTTAGAAAGAGAATAAATATATGTATGATTAATTGACAGATTAAACAACTGTATGGAATGAATATGGATGGAATAAATAAAAGATGAGGAAACGAATAAAAATTAAATCTGGGGAGAATACCATCGAGGTTTATATACCATTGAAAAGGTACCATAGCTGTTGTTAAGTATTTTACCGTACCCCAGGGACCCCAAGGAACGAATACTAGCTAGTAATCGTTAAGATATGGAGTGCATATATTTTAAAATATTAGCTAAGCTCATAAATGAACCGTGTCTACCTATAATCCACCGTAGTAGTGAACATAAAGATAGTTGCGATAACGTTAATGTTTGTTTCCTGTATGTGTTCTTCTGAAAAATATCTGGTAAAAAGAAAATATTCCTGGGGCATCTCTAGTATGTCTTTCGGAGAAACCACCAAGAGCGGTTTTCCCTTTTGACGTATCGCGTTTTTATTTTTCCGTAATATCCTTCTCCATATTATCGCAATAATGGTAAATCATGCTTGTATAATTGATTTCTATTAGTTCATACTGTACAAACTCTTCTTTAACCTGAACTCATAGTGGAACCAGCGAGTTGTTTTCTGTGTAGAAACCTATCAGAAAATATAAACAAAGAGAGATAAAAAGAAAAGTGTCTCATCATTAATAAATTGATGTGAGACGCCTCCCATAATCAGGAAGAAATAAGTGGCCCAGTTCATGTTTCCATAACTCGTTGATAACAATGATATTATAAATATACCTTTTTCATTTTTTTTTATTAAAAGAAGAATATCTGTAGGAACCCATATTTCTTGTGCTAAGAGTTTGTTCAACATCTACATCGTCGTAAGATGTAAGACACTCACCTACAACACCACATTCATCATAGTCTTTATCGCTATAAAATTAATATGTGGAGTATAATACGTAATGGCACTTGAATCTTTCGGGACTTCTTAATCTCTATTACCAGAAGCAAAAAGATATATAGATAAGTAGAAGATAGTTTTTCCGAATTTACTATTGTTATGCCGTCTTCCCTTCTCTTGTCTTTTCTTTTTCTCTTTTTATGGCATCGGCCATTGAATACTAGCCGTTTTTGGACAACTCGGTACAGAAGAAACAGAATTACCGCAGAAAAACGTTTGCGAGAAATAGATTTCAGTTTTCATAAGAAGAAAGAAAGTAAAAGAAATTGTAAATATTCAAAAATCTGGGGAATTATTTCGGAAAAACCTCTGTAATGAGGCTATTTAATTTTTACATGACGAGTCTTCGATATTTTTCTGTATTTCCATATATTCAACCGTTTTAGAATATCATACCGAATCACGTTATACATCATTAACATGTGGGAAAGGAAAATACAAACGATGGTATAATGGAAGAACATAACGTTTATACTAAAAGAGATATTAGAACATATTTACCTGCAAAAACAATAATTTTAAAAATTAAGGGGAATCCTAAGAACATTGAAATTCAGATTTTTAGGTATCTACCTCATTGTAATCTCTGCATTAGTTCTATAGGACTGTGAACAACGACAGTCTCAGTCACATCACTGGGAGTACCATGACAAAAATTCTATTGGCTAAGTTTTAATGTGCTACCATTATTATTATTTGTGTGATAAAGATATAGATAAGTTGAATATTCTTTGGTTCTCGGAATAGTCGATGAGAGATTTTGTCTTCTGTATTGCTAGTTCGGGTCGGAACAATTTGTTTGCTTGAATAATAACACAACATTGATCATGATAGTATTGATCTCATTATGTGATAGATATTTTGTCCCCAACAATATTGAAAGGACATATTTGACCCATAGACAGGGACATATTTGACCCATAGACAGGGACAAAATCTTATAGGCAGCTCGTTAAGTTCTAACACTAACTTGTTCATCTTCAAATGTGTAGAGAAATTATGATCTGCTTCAAATAGTTTAAATATGCATCCAGTAATAGGTCCTTTTTAATTACTCCCCCCGCTATGTAGAGATCGACGCTAATAAAGTCCGGCTAACATCTTATCTTGTATGTGTACGTCGTCACCTGTATAAAATTGGGAAGTACGTCAATTTTTTATATAAGTATTATTTGAGTGACCGACATATAATATTTTTGCCATAATGTCGAACTCATGGCAAATATTACTTTATATTTTGGAAAATATACTATTGTTTGTTTTGGTATAGATGGCCTATAACGATTTCAATTGTATAAACCTCCGATGGTTTTTCTTTCGCTTGACAAGTACTTAGGAATTAAAATATTTTATGATAGTAAGATTTAAAAGCAAAATGGCAAACTTTAAAGATTTTAATATTCTTCGTCTCTAATTTCTCGCTCATCTACTTGTTACATCTTTCAAGTATCTCTCTGTAAGAAGATATTTGAGAAAATGGTGTTGTATACTATATTAGATAAAGTATCAACCTCTTCAAATATTAAAAAATATTCAATAAAGCAAAGGGTCATAAATTGTTCTAATAGAACGTTCATCACCGATAACTATATACTAACCTTAATATAATATAAAGATAATAGATTTCGTATTTTATATTTTATTTTATGTATATACCATATACATAAGTGGACTATTCTAACTTGCCATTTGTATGTTTGTTTTTAATTAAATATTATTTTTGTATACGGCTGAACAGCGGTGTGTTATGGTTTCCTGCGGGTATTTCTGTGTAAGT